GGGGGCAATCAAAGATACGATCACTACAGGTAAATATGGCATACCGTGTACAGCCTAGTAAACGGCCACGGTCGTCGTCTCGAGCTCGCCAGACAGAGAAAACGGGTTTTCCGGCTCCAAAAACCGCTGTATTGCTGGTCCTCAGCTGAGGTGAGTGAGATGTCGTCGCTGCCCGTGCTTTCCCAGATCGCCACAGCTCTTGGTGTGGCGTCTGTGAGTGCGCTGGCGGCACCGCAGCGACTCAAAGGCATCGGAGAGAGCCTGGCGCCGCTGCTCAGCCTCAGGTGTGTCTGTGCATTGGAATGCAATGCACACTCGCAAGCAGACAGACAGACAGACATGGATGAAACGACAAACGGGCGCTGAGGATGGTGCTGGCATGTTTGTCGCATGATTGAGAGTTGGTCGATGTTGACGCGGTTCATTTCATGAGAGTCCGACCGACTTCGTTGTCCCCCCCCATGGATGAAACGAAGATGGAAGATCTGCGGCATGGCAGATCTATCTGCTGGGCATGTCTGTGTGTATGTTTGTGTATTTCAGCTGGGGCATCTTGTTCGGTTCGCAAGTATGGGTCTCGCTGGTCAGTGGCATCATCATGTTCCGCACTGGTGAGCGGAGTGCAACCTTGCACACTGACGAGTGTGTTTGGGGCAAGGCAACGGCTGAGTTGTGTGTGTTTGTAGTGCCTCGTCACACCTTCGGCAAGTTGCAAAGCAAGCTCTTTCCCGCTTATTTCCAGCTGTCCACCATCTGCTCGTCCCTCCTCACCATCGCCACAGCCGTCCTGATGCCGTCAAACCGCCTTCTTCACACCTGTGCTGGCCTATCGCTGGCCTCCTCTCTCGTCAACCTGGTGTACCTGGAGCCTCAGACTACCGCCACCATGTACGAGAGGCACGCGATTGAGAGGGAGCTGGGCATCGGGGTCAGCATGAAGGACGACCCCGCCAGTGTGGAGAAGGCCAAGGCCAACACCGAGCTGCAGCGGCTCAACAAGAAGTTCGGGATGTACCACGGCATCTCGTCACTGAGCAACCTTATCGGGTTGGCGGCTCTCTTTCCCTTCGCCTGGGCCATCAAGCCAGAGCGGAGAGCAGGGAGGACTGTGTAGTAGATAAGATAAGATTATGGGGACCAGACCAGACCACATCGCTGGTACGTACATGCATACAGACAGTTGTGGATATGTGTGTGTGCTGATGTCATTGATGTATGGCCGAAGGATGGATGGATGAGACAGACAGACAGACAGACACCGACTAAGCCAGCGAGACCGATCGATTATTAATCGATTGTGGTTACGTGACAGTGAGTTTTAAAAGAATATATGAGTGTGCCGCCGGCGCATCCAGGCAGATCGAATTGCGATCACACATTCACGAAGAGTGTTGTCAATCAAATCTGCCGAAGTCCGACAAGCGTGGCACAACTATTCAGCCATCCCTCAACTCAACCACAAGCACTGACGAAGCTGTACAGGTCACTGCCGTGGCCGGGCCGCAGATCGGCCCTCCCTCCCTCCTCGGCCATGCCTCACTGAATCAATCGACGCCCGCCTTCTTGGTCATCTCGACAAGACATGTGCGCAAGTTCTCGTCCTCATCGTCGTCATCAGAGATGGGCAGCTCCACGTCATAGTACTGCATGCACCGCCGCACAGACTGCCAGAGGGCCCTGTCTGCCCCACCCACGACCAGCGGCATCAGCACACACACGCTCGCCTTGTCGGGCAGCAGCAGCAGAGTCAGATCGAACACCGACCTCATGCTGGCTTCCCCCCTCGCATAAGGGATCAGGTTCGAGAAGGTCAGGTGCTTGACGGGCGGGGCGAGTGGCGGGGCGAGCACCAGAGGGGGCAGCTCCACTGGCAGATGCTGGCTGACGATCTCCAGCTTGGTCAGCTTCTCAGGGCGATCCTGGCGAATAAAGGGACAGATGAATACGCACAAACATAAATACATTCATCGAGAGGGTGTGGTGTGTGACAGACAGACCTTGAGGTATCTCAGGCACTGTCCGGTGGTGGACGGTGCCATCCCTATGATTTTCATGCTCTGGAGCGACGGTAGTGAGGTTATGGTGCGGCTGAGGGGGTTGGGCGGTGCAGCAATGACGCTGGGGCCTTGCGTCGACGTGCCGATGCGAGAGAGGATGAGATTGTCAACATTCGGGTAGCGACCCGCCTGTGTGAGGAAGCCAGGGATGCTGCTGAAGTCGTCGTCATGGACGTCGTGTCTGAATACCACCGACAGGGACCGCGCCCCACTGAATGGTGGGAGGAAGCTCCACCTCTATCGACGACACACACCGGTGTGGCTGGGTGCATACACGATTCGTGCTGGTTGAGTCTACCTGAGGAAGCGGGACACCTCCGTACGCAATCATCACTGACGACAGACAGACAAATGCACACAGACACCTTCACTTTCATCTCTCCTGTTCGTTCCCTCCCTATAGGTATGGACTCACCATATGCTGATTCGGCAGCGAGTCCCTCAGCCATCCTCCGCACGATCGAGTGGACAGGCGACGGATCGACAGTGTTGTTCTGGACATCTACGCAGTCGAACGTGATGCTGACACACACACAAAGATACATGAGCGCGACACAAGGTTCCATGCATGCACCGGGTGTCGAAGCTGTATGCGATCTTGCATCCCATGTCCTCCAGCTGCTCAATGAACCCGACAGCTGCACACACACACACACACACACATACCCAGACACAGACACAGAACGCAGACACAGACACAGAGGAAGAGAGAGTGAGAGAAGGGGGACTGGTGTTGGTTGGCTCGTCTCCTCTGCTCACCGCTCAGCCCGTGTGGCCCGGCGGTGCTCCTCAGCAGGCCAGGCATCCGCTCGCTGACAGACATGTCGTATGACAGGGTCAGGTGCTTGTTCCTCCTATCGTTCCTGTGGCCCCACAGCTGCCGCAGCACTCCGAGGAATGGGTGCAGCGCGTCGAACGGTGCGTCGGGGTGGGACACGTTGTCGTGAATGCGGATCCAGTCGAAGGCGGTCAGGTGCGTCATACTCGGAAGGAGCGGGAAGGAATGCGGCAGCCGGCGGGGGTCTGACGACAGACAGGCAGACAGACAGACAGACAGAGGCGAATTGTATTGTTGGCTATTCCGGCGGGATAGGTGGATCCTTACATGGCGTGAAAGGATAGATGTAGAGCCGCTGCAGCTTCTTGGATGTATTGAGGAAGTGCGCCAGGGGCTGGTCGACGGACGACTCGGTGAAAAGGTCATCCTCGTAGCTGTCCTCTTCACAGTCCGTCCCCATGAACATGTCGCCCTCCAACTCGGTCAACTCTGGCCTGCAAACACACTCATACCAAACACGGGCGCATGGCTACGTCCCCCTTTCGTCGTAGGTCCATCGATGGCTTACATACCACTCGAACCCCTCGGTCACCATGCGCACGAAGTACCGCAGGCTGTCCACACGCAGCTTCTTGACGTGGGGAAACACAATGCGGTCAGCAGGGGGCGTCACAGCAGGCGGGCTGCCGATCCCCTGCCCCTCAGCGGGAAAATCCTCGCTCTCCATGTCGTCGAATCGAGTGATGACCAGCTTCTGCAGCACGGTGGGCGATCGGCGGATGGCGGCGATGACCATCTCACTGACGGGCCACTCATTGGGATCCATCTTGACCACGATGCTCTGGTGGTGCGTGCGCTCCAGCCGGCTCGTCACGTGGGCTGGCAGGTCCCAGAAGACGTGCTTGTCGATGTAGAGGTGGCTGTAGAGGGATGATGCTCCGCCGGCCCGCTGATGGTGCGGCTTCATGATGCTCGATGATGGCTCGCCGGTGACGCACGTGGAGAAGTGTCGGGAGACCTCTGAGAGCTGCTTGGTGCCGTCAGTGCTCGTGAAGAAGGAGCCGGCGTAGGACAACACCTCGTTCGGCATCGAGCGGAAGCCGGTGAATGGCACCTGGATGAACAACGAATCAACGACGACAGATCGATGAGATGCAATCAATCAATGACAGATCCGTCACATCCATCCATCCTTAGTGCTGTTCTCCTGCATGCGTACCCTCTCGTGTGCCGAGGCGGCTGGTGATTCATGATTTGGCGATGAAGCATCCATCACGATAGAAGCACACAGACAAACAGGTGACTGACTCAAAAGACGAGCTGAGAACTGCCGGAAGATGAGCTCGCAACATTAATCCAGGCAGATACCTTCAACCAGGCTGAACCACCACCGAGGCAGGCACGATGGATGCACGACATGGCGTGGCTCTTTCGTCGTGCTCGACAAGATCCGATGATGCATCTCCCGCTGAAGATCACTCGCAGCACCAAGCGCATCGGCACTGGCACGGGATGCAGCGAGGGAACCAATGCAGCGACGCAAGCATGGCGACGACAGCATCAGCTGACGTGTGCAAATGGAGGAGGAACAGGAGAACCAGCATGATGCCAATGACGCCTTTGTTCGGCCTCCTTGCTGGCTTCTGTCACCTTCTCGTGTCGAGTGCATTCACCCTGCTGCCCTTGGCGAGAGATCCGAGGCGTTCATGGCCTGCCAATGCAGCTGTCAGACGACCCTCTGGCACTGCCCTGTCAGCCGAGGGCGTGCGGAAGAAGAGGCGGCACAGGAAGGGACCGGCCATCAGCCCAAGCAGTCCCCGGTACCTCCTCACACAACAAGGCCGGCGCGCCATGTCCAAGGACCGCAGCCTCCTCGTCAAGTCGGAGATACACCGGGTCAGAAGGGCGCTGAGGGAACAGCGGGCAGCCAAGCTCGACTCATCGTCGTCACTCCAAGATCCTTCGCAGAATGCACCGAGTCTGCCTTCGCTGGAGGAGAGGTCGGCGCCCGAGCGGCTGCAAAAGGTCATCAGCCGGGCGGGCATCGCGTCGCGTCGAGCGGCGGAGGAAATGATCCTCGACGGGAGGGTGCGTGTCAACGGGGTGGTGGTGACTGACCTGGGTGTCAAGGTGGACGCACTCGGCGACCGTGTGACTGTGGACGGGCGGAAGATCGCCGTGCGGCCGCCGGAGGAAATCAAGTGGATTGCCGTGCACAAGCCAAAGGGATACATCTGCTCCATGAATGGTACGTTTGCATAAAGTGGGGGAGGGGTGGCATCATGTGTCACCATGTGGGTGTGGTGTTCCGTCGCCGTGCCTCTGTGCAGATGACCGTGATCGCAAGACGGTGAAGGATCTCGTCCCAATGGCTGAACGGCTCAGGTACTTGCCACATAGGCAGCCGCCATGCAATCGGCCACTTTGCTCGTCAATCTGTGTCTGTGTGGTTTGTGTGTTCCCTGGCTGACAGGTTACTGCCCGTCGGCCGTCTGGATCGTGACAGCTCGGGCCTGCTGCTTCTCACAAACGACAACAAATGGTCAGCCACAAACAGACCTCCTGAAACAGCTCATATGGCGGCTGCCATCACTCCCCCCCCCCCCTCTCTCTCTCCCGTGTCTATGTGTCAGGTTGCATCCCCTCACCCACCCTTCGTATGGCCATCAGAAGCGCTACATCGTTACTGTCGACAACGGCACACCCAAATAGTGAGTGGCCGAGGAGGAAGGCAAGTGAACCTAATTATGCTCCATCCCGTGTGGTCTCTTCTGTAACCCTTCAGCGATGTTCTGAACGAGCTAGCCGAGGGGGTGCTGCTGCCCGGGGAGCGCACCAAGACGGCTCCCGTTTCAATTGGGGTGTTCTTCGAACCAAAGACATCTAGGAAATCGGTGAGTGAGTGGCTGACTGGATGGATGGACGGCAACATTTGTTGACGAGTGTGTGTCGATCAGTTTGGGACTCTCGAGGTGACTCTGCGCGAAGGCCGCAACCGCCAGCTGAGAAGAATGATGGAGGTCAGTATGCAGTCAATGTGCTTGCGCAGACATATGTACAGCTGCTCAAGCAGCAGCTCACGCCTCCGTCGTACGTATCATGCCTCAGTTCATCGGCCATCCGGTGTTGAACATCCGTCGAGTTGACTTCGGGCCCCTGACACTCAAGGGCATCACCACACCTGGCCAGTGGCGGGAGCTCAAGCCCTCAGAGGTCTTCATGCTCAAGCGGGCCGTCATCACCCGAGCCAAAGCCAGAGAGAGGATGCTGAGGAAGCAGAGGAAGGACGGCGAGACACAGACTGTCGCGGCCAAGGAGATCAGTGGCCTTGTCGACGGCAACCGGAGGGCCGATTGAACTGCTTGTTTGTGACATGGTGTGGTGTGGTGGGTGTGGTGTGTTGGGTGTGGTACTGTGCATTGAGTGGTACAGACGTCCGTGACACATGGATGTACAGCTGGCGATCAATATATTAGTCGAGTACGCAGCTGGCGACCCAAAGGTCATTCATGTCTGGATTGGATGTCATGTCCACACCTAGTGCTACTACCAACAACATGCCCGCGTGCCGCTCAGCACACCCATTTGTCCACACGACCTCAAAGGCTAGATGAAAGGCCTTACAAAGTTCGCTGAGCCTGTCGCGACCCTAGTCCTGCGTGTACGCTCATCCACCAGCATCAGAAACGACTCACGGTCCTGCCCATCGCTCTTGATGGAGTCCAGATATGCACCAGTGCCAGGCACAGTCAGACTCGAGACAAAGCTGTCGTACTGGCTCTTGATTTTGAGGCCAGATTCGTCGAATATTCTGAGCTCTCTCGGTCTCAAGTTCATGTCGGCATATAGCTCCTCAGCCACTCGGTCAGCCAGCGCTTGCAAAGCCTCTTGCTTCGGCAGCTGAATGTCCCGCACCTCGTCGATTGCAATGCCGACGAGACTCAGCTCGCGCACCAGCTTGCGAATGTCCACCGATCGGTCCACATAGATGGGCGCGCCGAAGCGGTAGTAATCCACGACGTAAGGGAAGTACGCCGGATCGGCGTCGATGAACACCGGCTGATCTCTTTTGCTCGTCCCCAGCTGACTGGCCAGCTGCCCAAGCACAGTGTCGGGATGCTTGGCAAGAGTTGATCTGGCGACAGCGAAGGGCTGGCCGCCCACATCCAGACGGACAGGCTGCTCCTGCACCATCAGAGAAGGCAAAGAGAGTTGCTGCACGACGGCTGGCGAGGGCGGCGGGGCCTCCGGTGTGCCGGCCAGTGCGGGAATGGCTGGCGTCAGCGAGATGAGGGCGATAAGTGGAAGAGCCGCACAAGAGATGAACGCATGTTTGAGCATCGCCTCCATGCGTCTTGGCCATCCTTGTGCACCACTTTCCTCCCTTGTCGTCGGCTGCTGTTGTCCGCCTTCATGAAGGCCGGCAGGTAGCCGACTGACCCAAGGCTGTCTTGTGTTGGCCTGAAGAGAGGGCGAAGCTGCTGATCTCCCGTGCAGCAGTGGTCGTGGCGCGAGTGTGGTCCAGCAGAGGGCAGGGGGAACGGCAACCAATGAATGGATAAGCAGCACCACCAGCACCATCGACAAGACGCATTGTCGCAGATTCATCGCCATCTGCAGATCTCCTGTTTCTTGAGCTGCAGCGCACCACAACAGTCAGGTATGGCGCTGGAAAGCCTCGAATGCCTTTTCCCATTGGATCGCATTCTCAGCTCGCATCTTTCTCCTCTCTTGTAACCGCTCTCTCCTCTCTTGTTCTACGACTTAGTCCAGCAAACGACTCGTATTCAGCGGACGGCCGTGGGTTTCGGTCTGGAGGCCTCGTGAGTGTGTTCCTTGGGAGTGTGTTCCTTGGGTTCCTCTGTGCATGTGGAGCGTGCGTGGGTGATTCCTGTTGCGTGTCGTCGTTTGATTGTGCGTGAAAGACATGGGACTTGGCCGTCAGGCCGCTTAGGACATTCCGTGAAACCGCTCTCTCCTCTCTTGTGGCAGAGGGGTTTTTTGACCTTCGCCCGAGCCGCATTTGGTGCAAGATCTTTGCAAGATCTACAGGTTCAGGGAGTTGATCTTTCGATGGAGCGAATCATAAGAAGACCGGCCCTCGCACAGCTGACGGGGCGGCTTCGGCTCCTCTGCGAACAGAGGCAACGAGCGTTCTCAACCGTGGCAGAAGAGGCGACGTCCGCCGCCCTGCAGCAGAGCCCAGCGATACAGTTTGACATCGACCCTCAGGCGCTGGATGAGGACAGTGCAGCTGTGGCAGAGTCGGAGACCATCAAGGCCGTCACACCAATACGGGTGAGTGGGCAGCACACACGTATCGATGACCATGAGCTGACCTGTCTTTTTCTCTTTGCTGATATTGCACGGTGGCAGGCGTGGCAGGCGCCTCGGCTGCCGAGTATCCATGACCCGCCCGTCATCCGCCGCCCTGGAGAGATCGTTGATGTGCGCACCATGATACGCAACTGGTGGGCCTTCCCAGGTCAGTCAAACCAACACAAAGAACAAGAGATCAGCCAGACACTCAGATGTTGTCTGGTTTGGTATCTGCGGTGCGTGATCCATCGTATCAGCTGTTGGGTTCAATTCCATCCTGGAGGTGCCCGTGCAGCAGTTTGAGGTGCTCGAGGGCGAAACACCAAACGACTCCGAGACAATCGGTCGGCTACGCAGAGTGCCTATGAGTGCTTCGGTTGCTGGGAGGGAACGTCCGACTCATTCCCGTGTGCTCCTTTCTTTCGTCTCTTTTGTGTGGTTTGCCTGTCATGTCAGTGTTGCCGAATGACATCTTCGGTCTGCCTATTCGGCCAGACATCCTGCATCAGGTGGGGGGGAGAGAGAAGCCGTCTGTCACACACCTGTTCGTGTACCCGCCTTGATGTGTTTGATCAGTGCTACTGGTTCCACCGACGTGCACTGATGGGGTGGGACGAGCGGATGCAGCTCTACCAGTGGGAGGTACGCACACACGCACCAGACAATAATGCGACGACACTTATGGATGCGTCTGGTGCGTGAATTGTGAATGCAGTGGTACGGCTCGCACAGAAAGCTCAGATCCCAAGTCAGATCAGGTGAGCTAGGTCACGGAGTGACTGTGTCGATGTGCTGTGCATCGTTCGTCATTCATGTGCTCTTCACATACACTTGTGCAGGAATGTCTCGGATTGGTCAGCGGAAGATCTCCGGCAAGTACCTGGGCGTCAAGGCACACCCGCTGCGGCCACACGACTGGAGGAAAAAGTGCCACAAGAGACGTACGTACGCGACCCTGCCTGTGCGGATATATGTGCTTGCGTAAATCGGCTTTCCTGTATGTGTGCATTTGTGTGGTGCCTCCCTGATGTGTGTGTGTGTGTGTCAGTGCTCTGGCTGGGTCTCAAGAACATGCTCTCCGTCAAATTTGCCCAGGTGGGTGCGACCATCTGAGCTGTCGTCAAACGCCTGGATGACGCGTGTGTGCGTGTGGTTTGTGCGTGCAGGACCAGCTGAAGGTTGTGGATCACTTCTACCTCCGCTCACACAAGACCAAACACGCAGTCAGATACCTAAGACGCATCGTCGGTGAGTGAGTGCACTCACTGATGGGGAAATGGGTGGGCGGGCAGATGGGCACAGCAGCTCAATCGAATCCCCCTCTCTCCCTCTGTATGTGTGTGCAGGGAATCGGTGCAACTCAGCGCTGCTGGTGCATGAGGGTCGCGGCGACGTCAATGACAACTTTCGATGGGCCGTGGCGCACCTCACAGCCGTCAGGACGGAAAACGTGGAGGTGTGTGAAGACACACACAGATGCAGACAGACGTCAGAGGGTCTATCCATGTCTGTCTGTGTGTGTGCATCAATCAGGGTTTGAATGTGTATCAGCTGCTCAAGTATCGTCAGCTGGTCATCACCGAGAAGGCGCTGCAGAAGCTCATGTGGGAGATATACCACTACCCCGAGAAGAGGGGATGGGTCAGAAGGTCAGACACACACCCACACCACCCGTTGCCCCCCTATCCCACACATGGCTGCCATAAGTAAGTGGACCGGTGCTGTCATGCCGTGTTTGTTGTGTTTATGTTGGTCAGGGCGGCCACGCCGGACGGCAAGCCCGTGAAGCTGCCGATGAAGGTATGCACAAGCATCGCCATGCCATGGGCAGGGCAGCCACATCCATAGTATGGGTGGGGGCATGGCATACCCACTGTGGGTGTGACGGCGTCTGTAGGTGCCCGGGTGGAACAAGGAGTGGGTGGAGAAGAAGGAGCGTCAGAAGAACACGCAATACGACAGGGTCTGCAGCTACACACACGATGGGCAGCGGGCCGTATGCGTGTGTGTGAATCGACTCGTTCTGCCTGTTGGTCATGTGCGTGTGTGTATTAGTCTGCTTTGTTCCGCGAGCTGCGCAAGTGGAAGTGGAACTACGAAGAGCTCAAAGGACCGCTGGTATGCATCCCTCCCATCCAAGCACACCCACCCACCCCACCGACACACGCACCAGCTCACATGTGCCCATGTGGTGTGCGATTCAGAAAGTGCCGCGCCACGACCCATTCAAAGGTACCCAAAGAAACATACCAATCAATCAGCAACATGTGTATACGTGTGAGTGTGTGTTCAGATTCCGTCCGTTTCATCTGTCCATGTACGCCAAGCGGCCGCCATGGGAGAAATTCGAGGAACTCTACAAGGCAAGGCAGACCATTGCACTGCACACCACACATCGAAGCATACACATGATGACCTGCTCTGTGTGTGCGTGTGTGTCAGGACGACGAGCCGCTTGAAGAGGAGGAAGACCTGCAGGCGCTCGAAGACATCAGGAACGCACTCGATGTGAGGGAAGCGAACGAAGGGTCATGACACGTCCCTTCCTGCATGTGTGTCGACTCCACCTCCTGTCTGTCTGCATGTCCGTGTGTGTCTTTCGTCGATCCATCAGGAGAGGGAGACGCTGCACACGGCGGACTTTGACGTGATTGACGACACGGGCGAGCTGAGATCGAGGTCACTCAGCGACATTGCACGAGGTGGGTGCGTGAAGATACAGACAGACACCCAAACCCATCCATCCATCCATCCACACGCAAACCTGTACGTGTCGGTATGTTGCCGTGTCTTTCTCAGGTTCGTCATCTGATGGGTACCTCTCAGCCCGCCACAGCCGAGACGATGAGGCCGACAATGAGGAGGAAGCCGACGATGAAGAGCAAGAGGCAAGCGACACTCACCGTACATACACTCACCAATCGGTGCATTGCATGTGTCTGTGTGTGTGCAGGGTGACGAAGGCGACATGGGTGACGAAGGTTTGTCCGGCGATGAGGATGCGGACGAAGACATCGAGGATGCCGCCACGCTGCCACCTGTCGACCGGACATAGGCTGGATGGAACCAATCGTGTGTTCTGCATGATCACGTGTGTGTTAAACTTTGTCGTGTTCGTGGATGATGCGCGACCCGATGTTGGCTGCGAAGAGCCTGTATGCAGTGCGTGTGTCATAATCGCGTCTGTCACTGTCCTCTCGGTCTTTCCGGTGCGACTCGACGGCGAGATTTCGCGGAAATGTTCGGCGAGATTTTTCGCGCGATGAGACACCGCCGATTTACGAATTTTGATTTGAAGTCACAGTTCCATTTCCGTCCGCGTTTGCCTTTTCAGCCTTCCTTTCAGCCACAGATCCTTCATTTCTTTTTCTTTTCGCCTGGTTGTTGGCTTACGCAACACGCCTCATCCCCTCCCATGCCTCCCAGCTCGTCCGGATGCCCTGCGTGTCTTCCTCCACCGCCGTGCCCCGGGCAAGGCGACAGTAGGTGGCGCCTCGCCTTCTGCCAAGCGACTGCTCCCTGGTGTCTGCAGAGGGCCTGCACCCAATGTGTGGATGCTCACGTGTCTTCTTTCGTCATGCCTTTCTCAGAAGGTTGGCACAAAGTGCCTCACTAGTCTGGTCTTCACTGCACACTTCAATGTCTTCGTTGGCTGCTGTTCCCCTACTGTTCAGACACGCGACCCCTTAGGAGCCACAGGAAGGAGATGGCACGACGAGGAAGAAGAAGAACACGAGGTGGAGGGAGAGGAGGCGCCAGCCCCCGCCGCAGCAGCGGCTGCTGGCCGTCCTCGCCACAAAGCCGCTCACAAGCCCTCAGGTCAGACAGAACAGAATCATATGTGTGTGCATCTACTGAGTGACACCCATGTGTCCATTTGTACGTGTATGTGTTGGTTTTTCAGCTGCTGCTGATAGGACATGCATAATGCGGCTTACATAATGCAGCTTACCGCCAAAGCCGCCATTGGGTGAGACAGATCCTCAGCCACACACACAAGGTGACAAGGTGACAAGTGTCGTGTTTGGGTGCAGGGACCAACGACCCTCACCGGCCCAATCGACCCCTCCTGCTCTTCCAGAGCCCTTTCAGGAGGCCCCTGAGGCAGCAGCAGCAGCAGCAGTGCGGCACTTCTCGTGCCGCCGTCTCCTGGTGATGCAATCCTCCCTCCCGCAGTGTCCCTCGAGCTGGAACGCAAGCGCGAGGAGGAGGACAAGTCCTCGTCGCCCAAGAGGTCCAGGTTCGGACCGCCCCGTTCCCCGGCAGCTGCTGCTGAGATAGGAGAGGAGGTAAATATGGCCCCCGCACCAGCACCCGAGCAGCAGGAGCCGGAGCAGCAGCAGCAGCAGCAGCAGCCGTTCGCGCCACCCGACGTCGCCATGGCCGCGGCGGCCGAGGCAGAAGAGCCGCAGTTGCCGCCCCCCGCACCGATGACGGCCCCACCTGCCGTGGGTGTTCACGAGGCCGCTGCTGCTGCGGTCGTTGCCCCAGCCCCGGCCGCAGCAGCGGCCGCTGCTGCTGCTGGTCGCCTTCGCCGCACAGCCGCAATGCGGCTAACGGCCAAAGCCGCCATTGGTAATTCATGAGGGGCAGCAAGATGTCATTTACATATGCTATGGTCCTGCTGTGACACAGAAAGTGGCGTTGCGTACAGAGACAGTGACTCCGAGGAGTTTAACATCCGAGAACGAAATTTCAGGGGTGAAAGAGAGTTCTGTCTGCTCCATGAATATGCGGGTGTCTTAATCATGTAGCTGCTGCTCACTTCAAGGAGGAGGCGGCCGGATGTCGTCGCGTCAAGAAGCCCGTCAGCAAGTCCAAGAGTCGCCCTCGCCGCAAAGCCGCGCAGAAGCCGGTACCTGCAAAGAGGCACGCGATTTATCCATGGATGAATGAGTCTTCTTTGTTCTTCTTTGCTTGCTGTGGGGGCGCCGTCAGGAATCGCTAGCTACATTTTGTATTTGCAAGTGCCTTCATTTTTTCATCCGCAACTTCAAGGAAAGTGTCCCGGCTACTGTACCGGCCGCTCGGTCCCGAAGACAGACCGCGCAGAAGAAGAAAGGTGAGGAAAGACATGCAAAGGCACCACGCCAATTGGTGAATGCATGTGAAGAGCAGCCGTGCGTCGTGTTAAAGTCACAGAAGCTGCTTCCGTTGTCAAGCCACCAGCAGCAGCAAGAACGCGACCGAAGCCTCTGTGATGCACTGTGATCTGCTCTGCCACTCATGTGTCGTGTGTGGATGCAGTCCAAGGAGAGGAGGCGGAGGCTCTCGCGGCGCTACCGACGGGCCGTCATAGCCGTCATACTGGTGTCTCTCCCCGCCATTGTTGGCTACTTCGGCGGGCCATTGATTCAGCACTATCTCGGTGAGGGGTTTTGCAAGGGCTGGAAAGCTGTTGTGTGCCTGTTCGTTCGTCCTCTGCTCGCCTTTGGAACCGGCTGTGCGACCATCGTCCTTGCCGTTATTGACCACCACGTCTGCCCCATGTGGTGTGACGCCGCATGGGGCTGGTGCTGCTGCTGCTGCTGCCGCTGGCAGTGGATGGGTTCGTGGTGCCAGTGGCTGGTGCTGCTGCTGCCCCGGGCGTCGGTGGTGACGGGCATGGCGGGGTTGCTGACGCGGCCTAGAGGGCCTGTGGCGACTGTCCTGGACACAAGATGTCATTGATTTACATCGAAACCCCAAGGGTGAGAAAGGACAGACACACATACATGGTTGGCTTCTGCACGGATATGTGTGTGTGTGTGTGTGTGTGTGTATTCATTGTTCATTCAGCTTGGCTTCATTCACTTGGGCTCCTCGTGTGTTGTGATTGTTTGTCATGAGCGGTGGGTGATTGTCTATGTTGGGTGTGGGGTTGATGTAGATTCACTCGTGAGGCCTCTTCACATTGATAAATTCTTTCCTCTGTTGTTTGCTTTCGAACACGCAGATGCCATTCGAATTTGTCTGAAGGACGCGCAGAGGTCGCACCTGTATGCAGCCCCCCCGCTCGTCACCCTCGCCCTCCCGCCCGACTGCTGACGCCGCCCGCTGAGGAGGACAGCGGGTGGACCTACCACCTCTACCGAATCCCTGAGGAGGCTGAGGCGGCCATCAACACTGTCCCTGATGCCTGGAAGCTGGCGGAGTGGGACAGGGTGGCGAGGGAGGCCGCTGCTGTCAAGGCGAAGAGAGAGACGGTAAAAGGGGTCACTGTTTCAGCAAAGACACGACGGAATCACCATGAAATCTTGTCATGAATTCTTGCCTTGTATTGCGGCCACCCGCACCACCCGACGTCGAAATGGCCGAGGCGGAGGGAGAGGCCGCAGAGCCCCTCGCACCACAACCGCAACCCACAGCCCCTACGACGGCCCCGCCTGCCGTGGCCGTTCACGAACCCACTGCAGCTGCTGCTGTTGCCCCGCCAGCGGGTGACGAGGAGATGGCCGCACCTTCGCCACCATCACGGCCCCCCGCTGCTCAAGATGAGGATAAGGACCAAGAAATGGCGCCTGCACCCCCTCGAGACGAGGAGCACCCGCCCCCCCCATTGGCCCCTCCTGGCCCTCCTCCCCTTCTTGAGCTATCCTTGGAGGTTCCCGAGGCTCCCGAAGCACCGCCAGCCGCCGAGCAGGCCGAGCAGGAGGCTGCTGGGCCGGGAGAGGAGGGGGCTGAGGGGGGGATGGGGGAGGCCGCTGCTGCTACTGGCCGCCCTCGCCGCAAAGCTGCGCAGAAGCGATCAGGTCAGAAACAACTTACACACATGAACGCATCCCCTCACTCGTTGAATGACACCAGCATGTCCGTCTGTATGTGTCTGTCTTGACCATTCAGCTGCTGCTGGTGTTCATGAAGGTGAGGAGGTCATTGGATGGATGAACGGATGGAGGGATGCGTATCGGTGCATGTGTGTGTCTGAGCGTGGCTGTCATTTCAGACAAGGCGAAGGGCAAACCGACGGGGAACGGCAAGGCCAAGTGTGGTGGTGGAAAGGCGCGTGCTGCTTCGAAGCACTCTTCGTATGAGGAGATGATCAAGGAGGCCATCGGCACACTCAAGGACCGGTCAGGCAGCAGCTTGTTTGCCATCAAGAAGTTCATCCAGGCCAACTACTCCCTCGACTTCGAGGACGGACGCACCAAGGGCCACCTCAGCCGCTCACTCAAGAAGATGGCCGAAGCCAAGAAACTCATCAAGCTAAGAACTTACACACACATTCACCGTATCCACAGGGGAAGGGTAGGTGACAATGGTGTGGTGGGATGGTGTGGTGGGTGCATCTCGACGTGTGGCGTGTGTTGGTGTGTTGTGTGTTGTGTGCAGATCAAGGCACCGTTGTCGGCCAAGAAATCCAAGGCCGCCCCCGCCCACATACACACCCGGCATGGCCAGCAGGCAGGGCGCCAACCACACGCCCATCAACAGGGACATCGTCACCGACACAACACAGCCACAGCCACCTGCACCGGCCGCTGCTGCAGCAGCTGCCATTCCGGCCACGTCAGCACCATCCGGACAGCCACGGCTGCAGCCCTCGCCATCCTCTGAGGAGGACCCGGCGGCTGTCGACACACTCACTCCGTCACTTAAGCAGCAAAAGCTCTCGACGCACAAAGGGTGAGCGTTCGTACACACGACAGGGAGAGACACGCACACACCTCTTCATCGTGTGTGTATGTGTGTAAGTGTGTGTGTGTGTCTCTGTCGTCTGCTGGATGCCTTGATGCAGTCTTGGTGGCGTTCAGTCCCCCGAAGCGCCCGAAGCCTCCCGTGTGTCGTCTGAGGAGGACCCAGCGGCCGTCGACACACTCGGACAGGGAGAGAAACAGATCTCGAAGCGCAAAGGGTGCGCGTCCATACACACGACAGGGAGAGACACGCAGACATTGCGTTCCCTTCAGGGCTGCGGGAGGCCATGAAGGAGTACTACTCAGACGGGGGAGCAGATGTTGGTGGTGGTGAGATGGCCGGGGAGGATTGCAAACTGCAATCGCTTCCTACATTTTATATCTTCCGGCTGTGAAATTATCGTCATGCTCTTTTGCATCACTGTGCTTTCCAATCCACTTCGCACAGAAGAAAGGGCGAAATGGAATGTACGCATATGTGGCGCCTGGTGCGCATACCACACATGAGTGGATGTAGATTCCGTGAGAGGCCCCTCCTGACTGACCCATCGGCGTGTGCGGGAAGTTCGGATGCGTTCAATCTCTCACAAGAAAAACAAAAGCTCGCAAGGTTGGGATCGCGAGAAGCCGCCTGGGGCAAAAGATCCCGTGATGCCCTAGATAGCGATGGATAAAGCTGACGAGGAGCCAAGTATGGATAAGGCTAAGGCGCCAACCGAAGAGGACGCCCAGAAGGGCGAAGCGGAGGCCCCTCACGCTATCCACGAGAAAGAGAGGGAGATTGCTGACGTAGCTGCTGCCGACGGATCAATGGTGTGTCAACCAAACCACGCATTAAACAAGTCAACGCCTCATGTGCATGATTTCTATGTGTGTCCAGGCCGCTGATCTTCTGGTGAGTCCTGACAAGGCTCCTGCCGAGTCGGCATCAGCATCAGCTGCCGTAGAGCATCCCTCATCGCTCCTCGTGGAGCCACCGGCGGACTCGCACTCTCCCCTGCACCGACCCAATACCATGGACGCCCCCTCCCCATCGCCTCTGCCACAGCTCACGCCTTCACCAGCACCACACGAAACCCATGAGCCGTCGTCGAGCATCGCATCGCCCAACATTCCAGAGGTGACGCGGTCGATTATGACCAGCGAGCGGGCCGATAGAAGGCTGGAGGGAGAGGGCGGTATGGGTGTGGGTATGGGTATGGGTGTGGGTATGGACGTGGGTGATGGTGTTGTTGGTGGAGCCGATAGTCCTGCGATAAGGCATAGTGGCGGTGTGGCGTGGGAGGTTGGCGGGAGAGGCAGGGGCAGGATGCCGCACCTCTCGTCGATGGACCGGGAAGAACGGTGAGGCGACAGACACACAGGCACATACTCATGGAGGGAAGGCATGCTGCTGTTCCTTCACTGCTGTCTGTTATCTGTGTGGGCAGCAAGCGTCCGGAGCCCGTAGAGGATCTGCCCAACCCTCACCCCCTCCCCCCGCCCTCCATCCTCTTCCCTCCACACCCCTCCTACCTTACATCGCCCTCGTCGCCCTTCGACATATCGCAGTCACGTGAAGAGTCCAGGCGCCTGCTCGACTCAGCCAACAGCTTCTTGGACTCGTCGGCGCGACAGAGGGAGCGGGGCTTCCCCCTGGGATCGATATCGCCCCCGGCATGGCAGGTGGAGGAGGGCCGGCGCGACGAGGGCGGCGGTGTGGTCGACATGGGACCCCCCACGCTGCGTGACGAGGGCGAGTGTCGGTCGCCGTCGATCGACGCTGACGAGGAGGCGAGGCTCATGCAGATGGACTTCCGTGCGAGCCCCGGGCCTGCGCGGCAGGAGGAAGCTGCGCCGGGCATGGTGGAGCAGATGCCTGGCCCCCCTGCTGCTGTAGGTGTCGGTGTAGGTGTGCCAGTGCCATATGCGGATGGTGGTGTGCCGCAGCTGGGTGGCGGGGAGGCGACTGCTCGTGTGGAGGGGGAGGGAGAGGGAGAGGGGGAGGAGGGGCCCAGAGCCACAGAGCTGCCGGCACCTGGTGAGAAAGAAACGCAGCAGGTGATTCTGTCTGTCACGTCTGTCTGTGACGTGTGTGTGCATGTCATGTCATGTCAGTGTCTGTGGGCGGCGTGTCGAGTGAGGGCGGCCCCGGCCCCTCTCTGCAGGACTGGCAGCGACTCAACTCACGACTTAGAGCCAACGGATTCAAAGTAAGCTCTGACAAACACACGGACTCACACTGCACCAAAAAGAGAAGACTGCTCCCTGCGTGTTGTGTGCTCAGAGCATCCCATTGCTCGCGCCGCCCCCCACGCCCCAGCTGGGCCTGTCACCATCGCCATCGCCGGCCGTGTCGTTCTCGTCGCCCGAGCGCGGCAACGGCCACTCGAGGGAGGAGGGGGTTTCGGTGGACGTGACGGCCATGCTGTGGATCTGGTTCGACGTCATGCAGGAGCTCGAGAGAAGGTAAGATGCGGACAGATGCGGACAGGCAGGCAGGCAACACGAGCCCACACAAAGGCATGTGCTGAATGGTGTGTGGTGTGGTGTTTGTGTGGTAGGGGTCGTGTGATCCATGACTTGGCGACGTCCGGTGGCCCCCGCCGCGGCGACGCGGCGTCGCTGGCCATGCTACAGAAGGAAAAACACAGGCTGGAACAACAGGTACCATCCATTGGTCAGGCAGGCAGGCGCCTGCACGTGTGTGGTTGTGGTTGTGGTTGGTGTGTCAGGTGCGTCAGCTGCAGGCGGCCTTGTCGTCGAGCGCCAGTAGTGCGTCGAACCCCCTGGCGCTCGAGCAGAGGGCAAGACAGGCAGAGGCGAGGCTCAAGGTGACCATCTATCCATCCACCCATCCATCCACCATACACAACACACGACACAGATGTGTGTGTGTGTTTGTTGTTAGGTGTTGGAGAAGGAGGCGAGCGACTTGCGTCTCAAATATGCGGCAGCCGACCACCAGTCCAAGAGCAAAGAGAAGGACCTCGACAGGGTAACAAAGACACATACAGTCACATAACATGCGACACCAACCCGGGTCTGGCGCCCCCATCTCTCCCTCTCTGCATCTGTGTCAGCTTCGTGCTTGTCTGGACAAGTTGGCAGAGGCGGACGAGCGGCGGAAGGAGCGGTGCAAGCAGACCCTGCAGCGGCTCAAGGGCAAGAAGGTCACCAGTGCCAACGACGGGGCCGCGATTGACATCATCAACTACTTTGAGAAAAAGGCACGCGGGCGGCGGCAGGCATCGAATCGGGGGAGAGACGCCTGCCTCATACCTCTTTGTGTCTGTGTCTGTGTGGTGCAGGTGGAGATACTAGAGGAGGAGAACCAGCTGCAGCAGAGGCAGATACGCAATCTTAGCGAGTGAGTAACCACTCTTCCTTCAAGCGCGTATTTCGCTGCTCCCCTCTATCGGTTCCATGTGTGTGTGTGTGGTTGCTTGTTTCGTTTAACGTTCGTGCAGCCAATACCTGGGTGTGTCGGAGCAGCTGCGCCGCCGGCAGGCTCTCGAGCAGCACTTCCCCCAGCAGCAGACACAGACCCAAGCACAGACACAGACACGGCTCCTCAAAGACCAGCCACAGCCGCAGCCACAGCCACCCACACAACACACCAAACAGGTACACATCGATGCATCCTCCACTCTCACACCGTGTATGTGTTTTTGTGTGTGGGGGGCGTTCTGGTATGTGTCGCTATATCGCAGCCCCCTGCACCCTCACCCTCACCTCCGCCCCCTCCGCGTGTGTATGACCGCTCCATCGAGCGGGAGACGTCTCGACTGCGTGAAGCAATGGAGCGCCAGATCGGTGACATGAAGCGCGAGCATGAGGCCGAGGTCAAGGGCCTCATGAAGAAAGTTCGACAGGTCGGGTCGGTGGGCGGGTCGGTGTGGGGTGAATGGATGGATTGATGGATGGATTGATGGATGGATGGACGTCCTGTGCTTGGCGTGTATGTGTGCAGCTGGAGGACAGTTTGGGCAACGCCGAGTATGAGGTCAAGAACCTGCCCACACACAGGGAGGTCCAGACGCTCAAGAACGAGATACTCAAACTCAAAGTGAGTGACTGACCAACCACACACAACACGCTGATATATATATTGCATCTCTCCGCTGCCATTGCAATGGTTAGGATGAGGTGAATCCGAGAAAGCGCGCCGACTGGCGTCACTCAGACCCCCGCACCCTCATCCGGCGCGACCGTCAGCTGCATCAGCTGGGGCTCAACCAGCTGAACGACATGCCACGAAATGACGCCATCGAGCTCGTCAAGGTAAGATGGGGAGGGTGGGTGGGTGGGTGCGTATACACGGGGCGCGCCGTCGTCCACCTCGGCAACGCATAGCACACGAGACTGTGACTGTCTCTTGTTTGTGTGCTGTCTGTGTGCAGGAGAGCTGCCGATTGATGAGTGTGTCTGACCCCCAGTCGCTGCCGTCGGCCATCTCAGAGGCGCAGAAACTCAAAGAAGAGAACCGGACGCTGGAGCAGTTTGCTAAGGTGGGGAACATGACACGATCACGCCCAGACAGACAGATAGACAGTCACGCTCACACGGCTTCCTCGCATGTGTGTGTGTGTGTGTGGTGTTGTTTGCTCCAGTCTGTGTCAGGGATTCTCCTAGGCGACTTCGCGAAGAAGGACCTCGGCCGCGCACAAGACGCCCTGCTGTCATGGCGGTCACAGATCAGACGGGTCAGTAAATTAAGCGGCTGACTGACTGACCCGCCACAAAACACATGACTGTCTGTTTGTCCGTGTGTCTGTCTGTCTGTCTGCATGTCTGTCTGATCTGTACAAACACACAGCTCAAGGACTACACCAACTTCCACCTGGCCATCGAGTCGATCATCCGCAGCCGCCCTCTGGCCCCGCCGCCCGCCACGGCTCTCCCCCATGGGCGTGAGGACCAGCCGCAGTACTCTTTGGTGGAGCTCATGGCCATTATTGAGGAAATGGTCAAGGCGGAAGAGGCCGACAGACGGCATGAGGTGGGTCTGATGGATGGATGGGATCCGTCGGCGGAGAGAGAGAGGGGTGTCTCGTGTGTGGTGTGTGTGTGGGTGGTCAGGCCGCTGTGATGTCCGCTGCTGTGGCCGAGCAGCCCTTATCGTCGTCGTCGGCTGCCGGTGGAGCTGGTGCTGGTGGTGGCAGTGTGTCTGATGCGGTGAATCAGCAGGTAGTGCGGCGACTGATGACGCTGTTTGAGGTGCGCGACGTGGCGGGGTGCATCGCTCTACTCGAGAGGCTCTACTCTAACGTAAGTAGCAGCAGCAGCAGCAGCAAAATGCCTTCAGCACGCTCATGCACACAGCGGATGGATGTGTGTGTGTGTGTGGGTGGGTGGTGTGTGGGTGGGATCAGCGGTTCGAGCAGCAGCATTTCTGGCGGGCCGTCTGCACGCACCTCGGCCTCGACCCACAGAAGACCACCGCATACCACGTACGCAACGACGGCCGACACGAGCCACTGTCCCCACTGTCCCTCCCTCCCTCCCTCCCTCTCTGTCTTCTTCAGTGCCAGGAGCGGCTGGCCGCCGCGCTCAAGGCCACCCACGTGCCGTCCGTGGCACTCATGCGCAACACCATCCCCAGCCCCACCGCCACCCACCCCCACACAGACACAGAGCCACCCAGATGGCCGTCTGACGAGAGGGAGAGGGAGAGGGGCGTGACGCCGCGGGAGGCTATAGGCATCACTAGACGGATCATGGACAGGTCCGTTGGGTGTTTGGGTGCGTGGGTGGGTCACCGGTGGGTGGGTGGATGTCTGATCTGAATGTGTGTGTCTGGTGTGTCAGTTTGGGAGTTTCGCGTACGGAGGAGGTGCCGGTGGAGATCGACAGACTGCGTCGGCTGGCGGAGGACAACATCGTGGACGGAAAGGTGGTGGCGGACCTGCAGGCACTCCTGCGACTGCAGTCGGTGTCGGACATCCTGCCAACCGTCCAAAGGTCAGTCTGTGGCACCACACACATCCTCACGCACATCGTCAGATTGATGGGAGGACGGTGCGTGTGTGTGTGTTGTGTGGTTTGTGTGTGGTCAGCCTACTGGAGAGGCTGCGTGCCCGTATTGGCGGGATTGGCGGTGGTGGTACTGATGTGGTGGAGCGGCCCTCTCCGAGCCCATACGGCCCATCGTCCTCGTTCCCATGACTACCATGACGACCCCACGGGCTCACACAGAGGGTTGGGTGCGGCACGGTGCGTGGTTGTTGTCCGGCTGTCTGCTAGTGTATGGCCTGGATGGTGTGTATGCGTGTATGCTTAAAGGGAGGTGGTGGAAGGGATGAAGGGAGCTTTGAAAGGCATGGTGCTCGCCTCGCTCGGGAAATGTATCTGTCTGTCTGTCTGTCCGTGTGTATGTGTTGTTATGTGCACGTGACGTGTACACTTCTGCATATCTATCCATCACATGACATCACTCGTCTGTCTTTTTCCGTTGATGGTCGGTCGAAGGTTTCAGTCAGCTCGATAAAAAGTCTCCACAAATGTAATCTCTTCTACAGACGGCATGGACATGGACATGGACACCACCCACCGCTAGCTTCATTCAAGCAGTCCAGCCACGCATCGAGTGAGTGAGTCTCACTCTCTTGAATGAACACCGACCGAGTCACTCCAGACATCAATCAAGAAAAGAGTGCAGTGCAGTGCACCTCGACAGCAAGAATTAGTTCATGAGTGACCACCAGACACATCACACACACGCGCTACAGGGAGTCCGCCCACCCACCCACTGACCTCTCTCACTCTCTCTCTCTCCTCGATCTGCTAGCGTGGAGCAGAGAAGCACTCTCATCCTTCCTGATCCACTTGTGCTTCTCTCATCCTTCCTGATCCACTTGCGGAGTGCCATCCTCGAGGAGTGCCGGGTCGAAGTCGGGGTCGTAGTCGTCGGCGGCCTGCCTTCTCGAGGGCCAGTCAAAGGGCGGGATGTTGGTTTTGTCCCCGAAGCAGCCCAGCGGGAAGAGGCTATCAGGGTACTTGCGCTTCATCATCCTGGTGGATTGACGGACACAGAGAGACAGGGCAGGAGAAGATGGCGTCCGCGCGTCTGTCTGTCTGTCTGTCTTGGTGCACCCGTCACTTACTCGTGTTCCTTGGCGAACCTCTGTGCGCAGTAGTCAGCCAACTCGATGAACTCCTCGGTCACCTCGCCATCCGCCTTGGTGAGCATCGCGTCCAGCTTGGCTATCTCCTCGTCCGTCATGCGATTGGGGGTGCAGACGTACTGAGCCGGCCTTGTACCATACCGAGATCCGGCTCGCTGCCAGTTGAGCTTTCCGCACGCCACGCGGACGCGCCAGAACTGGTGGTCTGGATGCTTCATGCGCGGATTCCGGAAGAGCGGGGGCTGCCTCCAGGGGCAAGTCCAGGGGCAAAGATTACCCATTCTTGCTCTCTCTCTCGGCGGTCAGCTGCCTTGGACTCCTTTGCATTCTCAGACAGCAGGCTTCTGCGATCTCATTCTTGCCAGACTTTGATGTGTGAGCGGTGTGAAGCACGTCAAAGTCACAGATCTTGGCCCTCCCTTTGCGAGGCTTTGCGAGGGCTTGCAAGCTTAGCCGGGGAAGAGGCAGGAAAGATCTCCACAGTATGACCTTCCTCACCAACGTGCAGAGCTTTCTGAACCGCTTCGTGTGCAGCTCGCTCATCCCGCCACCTCCGAGAGCAGCTGAAGAAAAGTGAGCCTAGCCTCTCCATCCGACACACAGCGCACAAACGCACAGATAAGCTGCATGCCCCGCCTCACCTTGCCTTGTGTGACGCGTAGGAACCGAATCGCGATTGTGTGGGGACATCCAAGGTAGAAAGGAGAGCACCTTTCTGTCCGACGACGATGTGGTGCTGGTCTGCGTGCGATGGATGGATGAATGGATGGATGGATGGATGGCAGGTTCGACAGCTACAGCGCGGCACTGCTGGCGAGAGCCAAGGCGGGGCTGGCAAAGGCTGGTGAGTGCAGCAACATCATCATCACACAGGCGGGCACGGACAAACGCACACACACACACACAGACACACATGGCCGTCCGCTGTGGCACGTCGGTCTTTCGTTATTGCAGGTCATGAGGTGCAGCAGATCGACCTCTACCACGAGGCTCCTGGCGCTAAGCTGGGGCCTTTCGAGTGTGCACTGAGCTCGTATGAGCACGAGGGCTACTACGACCCATCGACCATCCCCGCCGACATCCAGGAGCACCTCAAGATACTCAAATGGGCCGACAAAGGTGGGTGGGCCAGCCAAGTGAAATGAATGACCTCTGTGTGCCTACCCTGTGTGTGGTGGACGTTTCTCCTGCTCTCTCTTGGTTGCTTCCTTCTCCAGTGCTCTTCATCTACCCGACTTGGTGGTTCGGTCCTCCGGCGATGGTCAAGGGCTGGATGGATCGCGTGCTGCGGATGGGCGAGACCTTCGACCTTCCCGGCAAGAGCACCCCATCCACCAACCCCGCCAGCACTGCCGCGTCGGGCCTGATTCCCATGCTCACACACATCAAGAAGATCGGCCTGTAAGCACACAGACGCCAGCCAACACAAGTGCCACCGAATGGCTTGTGTGTGTGTGTGTGTGTGTGAGGATAACGACGTATGGCGCACCGAAGTGGTATTTTCTGGTGTACAGCGGCGACTACAGCAGGAAGATCGTGAGCCGGGTGTTCGCGCCGGCGTGTGTGGGGTTCCCCGAGCTGCTGATCCTCTGGATGATCAACCTGGACCTGTCGGACATGAAGGCCAGGGAGACCTTCCTACAGAAAGTCGAGGCCTCCTGCGAGCACTTCTGATCTATCCGTCTGTGTGTGTGTGTGTGTGTGTGTGTGTGTGACCGTCGTGTGTCCCTTTTGTCCCCGACAGCAGCCTTGTTCTGTCTCGGTTCACTGCTGGGGGCGAAAGGCCGTTGCTGGCGGGACTGGCAGGAACGCACTATGGCCCATGTATTATTTTTCCCGGACCGCATGGCATGGCATGCGGTTCCGTCGGCTTTTTTTGTGTGCTTTATGAGATATCGAACTGCCCGTGTGTGGCTGCCTTTGCTGTTTTTTTGGTAGCTTTATAGGGAATGGATATGCTGGCTGCATATGATGATGATATGCGTGAAAAGAGAAATGGACCAAACCATTTTGGGATCTTGTTGGCAGTGAGTGAGTGTCCGTTGCTCGCTCTACAAAGCTACATGATTCCATTTATAAGGGACCAGAAGCGAATAACCCGACCGACACCATTTCCGTGTGGCTTCTTGTGTGCGTTGTATGAAGAAAAACCGAGCGGCCTCTGTGTGGCCGCGTGGCTGACATGCGGACAACTGGCCGCTCATCGCTTCATGTAAGCGCAGGGCATAGATGAGTTTGAGCGTTTCTGTCATGTGCATATGTGCAAACCCAGTCAGTCGGTCAGTTGCCACACACACATACACACATCCGTCCATCCATCCATCCAGCAGCACCAACACATGCTCGTTCACTCCGTTTATCACCGCATTCACGTCGGTGACCCTCGACTAGATGAGTGCCATTGGGTGAACATCATGAGAATGACTCACACCCACCGGTGCCTGTCTGTCCATCTGCTGGCCTGCCTGCCTCCCATTTGTCCGTCCACCCACACCAGGGAAGCAGCGAGTGAGGCAGCGACACCAACCTAGTCATGCGCACATCAAAACCTGCCCGCCCGTCTGCCTGTCCCTCCCTCTCATCCATCCATCCATCCATGTGGCTACGTGCCCCACTCGCTCATCTCACGTCAGCTGCAGCGGTCTGAAGGTCGCTCTGCCGTCCCGGCCCCTCTCGACGCACCCCAGCTGCTGCCACTGGAACTGGCACTCGTCATTGTCCAGGTGCTCGTTGAAGCCCTTGACCAGCCCCGCCACGCCATGCTGGGCCGCCTCGTCCAGCCGGGCCCTGTGCGCCACCTCACGCACACCCAGCAGCAGGTGCTGCCCGCCCTGCTGCCCCCTGATGGCGAAGCACTGCAGCGGCACCCGCACCATCTCGCCACCCACATCGGCCATCCCGCCCACCACCTCCCTGTTGCTGCTGGCCTCGTACACTGCCGACCGGACGAAATGCTCGACAGCCGCACGCACACGCCGGGCCATGGCGGAGTGCCGCACGCCGATGGCCTCGGAGATGGTCTGGGTGGCGGCTTCCATGTCGAACAAGTACGATGCGATGCGCCAGGCGAAGATGGGGGCCTCCTGCGGGCCGACGGCCAGCCGGGGGGCGAGCAAGGCCGCGAGCGACCGCTGAGGGGCTAGGGCGGCGTTGATGGCAGCCATGACGTCATCCGGCAGGTTGTTGAGCACTGTCGCGTACTCGGGCAGCATCAGCTGGCGACCGCGGCGGTCCTCCCCTATGGCAGTGGGCATGAGGGCGATGTCGGCACCCGCCTGCAGGAGCACACGGATGGTGGTCCTGAGGTGGGGGATCCGTCTTGTGGCTCGGTCCCTCTCGGCCTGCCCCGTGTTGCCTTCATGCAGCTGTTGGGTGGCCTCATCGAGCCGTCCGGCAGCGACGGCGAGGGGTGTGCAGGTGGGGAAATACGGGAGCCATCTGTTGATGCCGGTAGCGGCGAGACGGTGGCAGAGAGAGGCAGCCACACAGTGGGAACCATTGCAGGCCGTGAAATGCAATGGTGACAGCCCCAGGTTGTCCACGGCCCTGACGTCCGCCCCGTTGGTCACCAGCAGGTCGATGTAGCTCTCGATGAACTGCTGGGACCAGACGGGAGGTCTGCAGGCCACCCAATGCACCGGATTCTTGCCATCCGGGTCCCGCTCGGTTGCGAGTGTGCCGTCCCGCTGGATGAGCTGCCGGTGGAAGGACAGCAGGATGGCCTCGTGAGCCTCAGTCGGCTGATCCGTCGGCAATGTGAGCGGCAGATGGAGCAGGTATCGCCCCCGCAGCTGGAGGCCTGGAACAGACAGACAGACAGACAGACATCCACCATGCTGTGTTTTTACGTGTCGTGAGTGCTGTGAATGGGTGTGCACCTGGCTGGCCCATCAGAAGATTGAACGCGGCCCGGTTGCAGGAGGCGACGGCCACGCGGATGGGCAAAGAGGCATTCCTCCCCGCGTTGATATCGGCACCGCTCTCGATCAGGGTGCGCATGACGGAGAGCTGTAGGGCGCGGGTCCGCCACGTCGACAAGGCGACGGGAGTCATAGTATCAACATCCACGCCGTCGGGTGCCCAGATGGACGTCACGCGGTTGTCGGTGAGGTTGTCGCTGCACAGCGACAGCAGAGGAAAGGCAAAATAGCCGCCCGTGGTGCCCGCCACCCGCACCCTCGGCATCACATTGGGGTCGGCTCCCTGCTGCTGAATCAGCTGGGTCACCTGCTGTACGTCAAGGATGGTGCGCTCTATGATGATGGCCAAGGACAGCCGACTGCTGGCGTCGCTGGTGCCACGGGGGAAGCTGACGACCACCCCGTCCCCGTGGCTCTTCCAGCCACGTGATAACGGCGGACCTGCGGCTGACAAAGCAGACACATTAGACTAGCAATGATGAATGAGGGGCGATTCTGATTTGTGTGTCTGTGGGTGTTCAGCTACCTCTGTTCTGTCGGCTCCGGTTCTCTCCGCTGCGCTGCTGCCCAACAAGACCCCGACCAACACGGCTAACATCTCTACCTGCACACATGCACAAACAGGATAGTGAGGCACATATCGACGGAGTGTCCTGCTTGCTCGTGCGTGTGGTATGATGGTCACTCACCACTATCGACACCATTGCGATCTGGTTCATCTGGTTGTGCGCTGCCGTCACGCTGTTCCTCCTCGGCTACACCGTCTGCAAAGGAACACACACATCCACACGCGTGATGCTTGGCGATGATGCTGTGTGTGTGATGTGCTGCAATTTGTCTGAGTTGAGTGTACCTTCATCGCCATCGCCACCATCCGCCGGGCCACCAGGGGCCATGTCGGTGTCGTGACGACCTGACGAGATCGCTCTCACTCACCCACACAGACTGCACGAACCACACACAGAGAGAGATATGGGCAGGCACCTGGTGCATGTGTTGTGTTGTGTTGTGTGCATCAATCAGTGCTTGCCTGTCAGATTTGAGTCGACGGCTGACTGCACACACTGTCGCTCAATCAACCAGTCCGCCCGTCGACAAGGCAGACCTGACGGCCACCTTCAACACACACAGACAGCGAATAGATCATCATGGTGTGCTTGTGCATGCAACCAATCGCCGCATCTTCACTCACCGTGGACGAGAAGCCGCTACGTGGCGATAGCGATGGATACGCTGTTGATGGAACTCTGGTAGAATACCACCAGTGGATCAGCAGGAACTCACTTCTTCACCCACGGAATCATTCCCCTCTCTCCAGCTCGCATGATGTGATCTCCGCCATGAGTGCCACGGCCAACGGCACCTTGAAGCCGTACTATCTCCCATCCTCTGCACCTCTCTGAAATCGCTGGAACCGGCTGCAGCTCAAGATGAGTTCGGACTCGGAAGCCTTCCCTCTCATTCTCCCTCGCCCGCCTCTACACAAGCCGCCCCGCCCCCCCCTGATCAGCCGCCTGTGCGTCTATGACCTGCCTGTTGCCGTGGATGGCGAGCAGCTCATCACCGACCCATCGCTGCTGCGCAAGATCCAGTCATCCATCCCTTCGCCATCTGTCAGCGAAGAGCTCAAGGCGCTGTGTGTGGCCTTCGCTGTGGTGGGGTCTTTCTTGTATGTGCCGATAGTGCTGGTGTGGGTGTATCGGAGATACTGCAAGACCAGGTGGCAAAAGGCCGCCCTGCTGGCGGGGCTGCTGCTCGTCTGTCTGGTTCCGGTGCGCCAGCGGCCGTTCATCCGCTTTCTCGGCGCATGGCGGACGCTGCTGAGGTACCTGACTGTGGTGGTTGCGTTTGAGGAGCCTGAGAAGGTTCCGCTGCAGGAGAGTGTTATCATGCCTGTCGTTCCCCATGGTGTCTTCCCTGTCGGCCAGGTGGGTGGGTGATTGTTGTCCTGTCGGATCTGTAGATGGATGGATGGATTCACACGTGCATCGCATCTCAGGCGTTTCTGAAGACCCATGACATGAATGCGCTGCTGAGGTGGCCGCGGATGGTGGTTGCGTCCTCGGGGTTCCGCTTCCCCATTTTTAAGCAGCTGATCGAGCTCAGCAACTGCGTTCCGGCGGCGCTGAACAAGGTGCATGAACCGAGCCAGGCCAGCCACGTATCGCGTCCACCGTATCGTGCCCTGCCGCTGCGTGTGTGTAGATGACGGCTGCCCTGCGCGATGGTTCTTCTCTTGCACTCACTCCTGGAGGTATTGCGGAGATCTACGAAGCGGACGACACACACGTAGGCAAGGAACCACACGCACACAGACAACGGACAAGGGCATTGTGTGTGTGAGTGCAGGAGTCGGTCATCATTTCTCGGCGGAAGGGCTTCACGCGTCTGGCGATGCAGAGCGGCCGCGGAATCCTCCCTGTATATATCTTCGGCAACACCAGCACATTCAAACAGCTACCAATCAGCAAATTCCTCAGGCCGCTGGCAAGGTCCGAGTACACAGACTCACACACATGCCGACGAACCATACCGCTGTTGTGTGTTGTTCAGGTTGACGCGGGCGGCAGTGAGTCTGTATTACGGTCGGTTCGGTCTCCGGGTTCCCTTTCGAACGCCCCTCCTTTATGTGGTCGGCCGGGAGATTGACACACGGCAGTACCGACAGAGCGGAAAGCCCATTACTGAGGAGGTGATCTGAGCTTCGGACGCTTTCAACCAGTGCCCTTACGTGTGTGTCTGTCCCTGTTCTGTTGGTCAGGATGTGGCTTGTGTGCATGAGCTCGTCATAGACGAGCTTGTTCGTATTTTCGAGAAATACAAGGACGTGTACGGCTGGGGGTACAAGAAGCTCGTCGTCAAGTGAACGGAGAGGGGAGGGAGCCGTGATGGTTGGGTGTCTGTTTGCTTTGTGTGTACATAGTGTGCACGCCTGTAGCTCCTACACATTTGTGTCGATGAAGGGCGCATTGTTGGCGTCTGTGTGGTTGAGTTGACCATGGACAATGTGTCAGTCAGCGTCTCCCTCGATCTATGAATGTACTTCCCCGTACTGACTGACCATTGGCCTACCCATTCATCCACGCACCACCACTGCAACCACGAACGTCTTCCCCACGCCCATCCCAGGCTATATATCGAATTGTCCATGCACACATGCCACTCCAAACAGCGATAATTAACCAGCCATCCCCCGTTCCTCTCGTATGGGTCTACTCTACAAGCACGAAAAAACGTACCGCCCACCTCACACACCAGCAGCCCCTCCGCCCACCCATCGGTCAGTCAGTGAGGGCCAGCCATGTTAAGGCGGCCACAGAGCCCCAGACAGCCAGCGATGTCGCACCGAACACCACACACGACCGCGCCTTGGAGCCGTCCCCGAGGCCGAGCATCGATGCGGCCATCAGCGACCCGCTGAGCACGGCACTGGTGACGCTGATGCCGCCGATACAGCCCAGGGAGAGGTAGAAGCGCCATGACGGCGGCCGCCTTGCCTCTCTGTCTTGGTTTCGGCTCTCGGCAGAGATGAGCTGATCTGAAGCTTGCTCCAAGGTCATGATCCGTGGCGACGACATGCGGCACACCCAGGCAAGGCAGGCACGAGAGGCAGGCGTTTAATTCTGCGCACACGAGCCTGAATAGGGAAGCTCACAGGGAGGGTGAAAACACAGCCAATAAGTGTTGCGGCTGCAGGCGCGTACCAGAGCTTTCGTAGGCTTGTTCAGGAGAGACCTGTTCCTCCTTGTCCATCAGAGAGCGATTTCACGGAATCTCAAAGCTCGCAGTGTTCTCGAGTTCTGGCGTTTCCTCACCTGCTTCTTCCCCTGGCAGGTGTCTGGTCTCGCTGTGAAGGGATTGAGCCAATTCAATTGCAAAACAAATGTGCCAGGTTCGAGAAAACCAGCAGTTCGACCCTGGCTCGATCACCTTGCGACATCGACGCCTTTTCGGCCCTGCTGTCCCGCGTCGGAGGCCTCTGAAGGCTTTCGGGTAGTCACTGCCCACCTCCCAGGCCGCCACAAGCTATACAGCTTCACACCGATTCTGCGACACACAGCTACGCTTCAACACTTCCTGCGGTAAGTAAGATGCGGGTGTGTGCATGCTCTTTATCCCTGTGTTGTGTGGTCATCGATGCAGGTCATCGTCTGATCTGATGCCCCGCTCCGCCCTGCATCGTTTGTCCCAGCACTTGTCGCCCGTCCGCCGCCTGGCCACACACATTCAGCTCTCGCCCGCCGGCAGACACGCATGGAAGACACTGACTGCATCCCACTGGCAGCAGCTGGCCGCCCGCGGCACGACAGGGTGGCAGGCCAACATCGAGAGGCGACTGGTGGATCTTGAGAGGCAGCACGGCACCAAGCCGGCCATGGGTGTCAAGACCGAGCCATTCGACGACGAGATGGCACTCACGGTGGGCACCTGCAAGAGATATCTAGCGCATCATGACGAGACCGAGGCCATCATCAAGAAGGTCGAAGAGCATCTGCGGCGTAGCGAGCGTTTCAAGAAACAAATCGCCGGTATGTGCGGGAGCTTGTCGACGTGGGGAGAATCTATTGAGAGAAGTGAGGAGAGACTGATGGCTGCAAAGAACCGGCTGGGGAAAGCAGCAAGTTGCGAGGTCCAGTCTTCTCTCAATCAGCAGGTGGCCCATGGGGATGCCAGGGCAAAGCCTCTGAAGGAGCGGCTGCGTCGGGATCCGGTGGGCAACGCTGACCACACTGCCAAGCGAGAGCAGGTGGACTTATTTGAGTCACGTTTTCCTCAGGTTCTGCTGTGGTTCTGCTGCATCCCACTCGGGCTGATTTTGTGGCGCTTACTTTGCTGGTCACTGTAGTGCTTTGCTGGTCACTGTAGTGCTTTGCTGGTTACTGTAATGCTTTGCTGGTCACTGTAGTGGACTCTTCAGTGAATGTGATTCTATCTGTCGGAGCGTTCAGGGCTTGTTTCAGCGTGTAGGGAATGAAACATGGCGTGATTTCTGTGTAGTACTTTGTGGACTGGCAGCATCCTTCCCTGCGCTGGCTGGCTGGACTTATTCGACATGCCTAGATGGATGGATGGATGTACAATCGGTGAGGTCGCATGCGTCTGTCGTTGAGTGCCGATCTGGTAGCGGTAGGCTTCTTGGCGTGGATGGACGAGAACAGGGGTTTGTGGGGCAAGACAACGATGGCCAATTCAATGCCATGTACAATGATCATATTCTAGTATACACGCAGGGGCCATTCTCGACGTGATGCGCTGCGCATGGTGGATGGCAACACACAAAGTACACGCACGCCCAGCCAGCGCCCTGATTCATGTGTGAGCTTTTCCCCTACCTACCTAGTGCTTCGGTACCTTTTGGCGGCTTGGCTTCAGTTATTTTTCACCCATGTGTGCGTGCGTGGGGGAATCAATAGCATTAAGTTTGAATTGATCTCGTCCCGTCTCCCTTCCCCCCCACCCCTCTCTCTCATGGTTTTCCCTCCGTGTGCGTGGGTGTCTGTGTGTGTGTGGATGTCCACATATCGCGCCCACACCGAACAGCAGGACACCTTCTCTGTCTGTGAGACATTTGCTCTTGTGTGTTCGTAATGATAGTACTGCATCTGTGTGCGTCAGCCCATAAATTAACCATTCACACCGTGACGTCCATGTGCGCATGTTCACCGAGTCCTTGCCTCAGCTTCTCTCTAGCAGCCAGTCACACGAAGGAGACACCGATTAGCAATGGCCACGTACGCACCGATATAAAATGTAGGCAGCGATAAATGAGCGGAGGCACCGCTCCTCCCCTCTCCCCCGCAAGCACATGTAGAAGAGCGATTCACCCGATGAGCCGCCGCCGCCGTGTCTTGTGTTTCTGCTTCAGTTTTTCTACAGTATACCAACCACAGCACAAACAGCCAAACACATATATGTGGGCATCCTTCCTGGCCGCCATCTTGAAAACACGTACCGGATTGTGGTATTGGATTTTCTGATGATCGAGACAATCTTGTAGACCCTTTGCGTGAGGTTGTCGACATTCTCCGTGAGGTTGTCGATTGCCCTGTCCCTGTCCATGGCGTCCCTCTGCTAATGTGCTGTGTTGTGTCCTTTGACTGTGTCGCTGTCTGCCTGTCTGCCTGTCTGCCTGTCTGTCTGTCTGTCTCTGTGTATGCCTACCTGAAGTACAAGTCCAACTCCCTCTCGGTGATGTCGTTGTGTGTGGGCGAATGGCTGTGAGAGTGGCGCGAATATCCTGCTTCACGCCGGCCTCGTCCAACACAGGAACAAACGGCATCTGTCAACCCTGCAGAAGTGCATCAATCACATATCGTGTCGCACAGGAGTGTTCTCTCCCCGCCCAACACGGCTCTCTGTGAGTGAGTTGGTGAATCTCTGCTGTACGCGTCCCTGGGCATCCTGTGGCCAGAAGAGGCCGTTGCTCGGCGCTCCGAAGATCCCCATCATACCCTCGAGGGCCGCTGCGTCCGACCCGTCTTCGTACACGTTGCACGCCTGGTCGACCCATTGTACAAACGGATACAGCCCCGCCCGCAGCTCCATCAGGGCCTGGATGTATGCTTGCACATCGCCCTTGGGGCCGTACGGCCTCTCCCTCAGCCTCATTTCTGTGGGGCGGGTGGCGGTTGGGTACTGACCGACAGACAGGGGCAACACACACACGGAAAGACAGAGAGGCACATAAAATATATATGTCTCTATCTGTCTGTCTGCCTGTCTGCAGCGGGCTGGATGGGCTGGGTAAAAGAGAGTGCACGTACATACCATGTTGTGGTCGACTGCGTCGTCGGGTGGGACCTGGTCGTCCTTGGCGCACCCCAGGTCGATCACGTGCAGATGGCCCTGGGCATCCCGCGTGAGGTTCTGCTTCTTGACGTCATTGTGAGTAACTGAAATGAGAAAAGAGGAAGAGAGAGAGAGTCATGTGTGTAGAGCCAGAGGCATACGTCCGTGCGTTCATCTCTGTATGTGTCTTTCTGGCTGACCTCCATCCTGGTGCATGGCTTGAAACCCCTGCAGGCCCTGTCGCGCGATGTCGCGACACTCGGCCAGTGGCGGTCCCATCGCGAGATTGGCCGTGTGGATGGCCAGGTCCTCCCCACAGTCAGGGAGCACGAGGTAGCCGTGCTCGTCGTCGACCTCGAAGTAGTACGTCAGGGGCGTCACGACATGCGGGCTGGCCATGGTGTTGGGCCGGGTGAGATACATGTGCTCATCTATGTACACCAAACGAAGGATCCGAGAGAAAGATCTTGGCGCGCATGCACTTACTGTCCAGCGCCGCTGCAGGACCCTCACCCTCAGCCTGAAAATGCATTGCAGGCACGCAGAGAGGAATTCAGAATTATAATCGCCGAGCTGCAGTGCGTCCCTTCTTGATGTATGCACGTTGGCCTCTCCATCCATGTATCGGGCGGACTGACGCGTCCAGGTCGGGCGCCCCCCTTCGCTCCTCGCCTGCTCGATGAGTCTGTCGCGCGCCTCTTCCATCTGAAAGCACATGCGATTGCTGCAGACGTGCAGGAGGTTAAGTCTGAAGCTGATACTTACTACTTTGACTTTCTGCTTCAGACTGCATGACACCCTATACAATGCATGCTTGGCGCGCTTCTCGCACTGCATCCATCTGAGAGAGAGAGAGAGAGAGAGAGAGAAAAAGAAAAAGTATGAGGTATGTCTGCTCGGGGCCGATGGAGAGGCTGCCTCCCGCCCATCTGCAGCTGCTGCTCCTCCATCTCCTCCATCTTTCGCTCGGCATCCCTCAAGCGACTCTCGTACTCAGACGTGTCGTCATCATGCTTTTGCTGATATTGGAACCACAGGACACAACGCCAATGAAGGATGTGTCTCTGCCCCACCTTTAGTTCTTGGTATTTGTCTTCCTGCTCGGTGAGTCTGTTCTGCCAGTCCTTTTCGCCGCCGTCGGACGCGTCCTGTATTGCAGTCTTGGCGCCTGTGTGTGAGTGCCTGCACCTGGCGCCCGCTGTCTTTGAGCATCTGCGCCTTGACCTGCACTGCTATGTCCTTGCCTTTCACCTTAGACTCGACCGTCTTCAATCTCCCACGCATCTCACGTGCCTACAAGAAAGAGAGGTCCGCCTGCGTTGCGGTGGTGGCCCTGCGGCCGCTGTTTCAGTCACCTCCTGCTGCAGAGTAGTGATTTCTTGTTGGAGCTCTTCTCCAAGGGAGGTTTGGTGGCGTAGGTGGCTTTCGGTCTCATCGGCCTGATGGTTTATGGATGACACACGCACAATAGATGCCACAACAGGATGGTGTGTATGATCATGGTCACCCACACACACAGAGAAACACAGACACACAGACATATATACGCAGAGAGAGAGGCTGACCTGTTTTCGGAGGTTGCCTTTGGCCTTTCTAATGTCATGTAGCTTCTCTTGAAGCCCACGGACGTCTTCACCATGTTTTTGCTGACGAGACCACACACACAGAAACTTCCCCCGCAAGCATCTCGCACCATACCTGCAGCTCCTCATAACGCATCATTTGGTTGTTGAGCTCCTGGGCGTACGGCAACCACACAAGATGGTAAGGAAACGGACTGATGCCGGGCAGTGGCCTGCCCCTCCCTTTTTTGCTTGCCTCCTGCAAACGCTCCGCACGAGATCTTGGCGTGTGTGCACTTACTGTCCAGCGCCGCTGCAGGACCCTCACCCTCTGCCTGAAAGTGCATTGCAGGCACACCCAAGTAGGACAATTGGTGAGCTGAAGTGCATGAAGTGCGTATGTACCTTCTTGATGTATACACGTTGGCCTCTCCATCCATGTATCGGGCGGGCTGACGCGTCCAGGTCGGGGGCCCCCCTTCGCCCCTCGCCTCCTGCTCGATGAGTCTGTCGCGCGCCTGACAATCTGAAAGCACATGCGATTGCTGCAGACGTGGCGTTGGTGCCTGGAGTGCCTCCTGCCGGCTGCACGTCAAAAAGGTTCCTCTTCAGGAAGTCGTCTTGCGTTCAGATAGAACGCATCTCAGGACGACGACCATCTCACTTGAGTCTCTTGGGGACGGGCCTCAACGAGGTGCCTCTGAGAAGCCCGAAGAGAGCCGGTGCAGCTGGTGTTCGTGTGACTTGAGAGAGTGAAGACAGGCTCTGTTGACGTTGACCGGCACTGGCTGCACCGCTCTCCTCTCCTTGGACCCCTCCCACACTGCCTCCACCCTCTTGGCCTGCAGGACGATTGCGGAAGACTCTTCCTTGACGGCTTTGGCTGCGCGGCGGGCCACATTTGCAGAAGAATGCCCGCCATCCTCCTCCAACCTCCTGGCTGTGTTTAAATTTCGTCTATTGAAAGCTCATGATGCTGCTCTTCATTCATCCACGGCGGCTGGGAAGGATTGGCTGCTGCCAAACAGACTAAAACAGACGGCAGACTGAGAAGGTAGGGATTAATTTGTCTCCCGTCTCGCCCATCGAGAAATCTCGCCGGACCCTTTTTCGTTGAGAAGACAGATAAACAGCACAGAGGCAAATTTGACGGTTGTTCTTCTTTCTTGTTGTTTTCTGCAGACAGTCTGAATGGGTACGATGCAGGCGGCAGACCTCAGGGTAGGTGCATGGACTGCACATAATATTGTCCATTCTTGTCGTACTTTTGCCCATTCCTCCAACACGCGACCTCCCCCCGACTCTCCCCCTCTCCGTCAACACACTCAAAAGAAACGACCACCACAAACGACTCCCCACGTGAGTGTCTCTCGTCTCTCCCAGTGTCTCTCACTCAGAGAAAAATATACTACGAGGAGATATCATAACTACTGAGTTATCATACTGACTGTACAGCGTCGTCTGCCGTACGATCGTAGATGTGTGGACCCATAGATGAATGCATTCATATAGAGATCTGCAGACATATCAGGCCCTCGCCTCTGCCGTGGCGAGGACGATGTCGTCCTCCAACTGGTGCCCGTGGAGGGCCTCGATCTGCTCCTCAACCTCCTCCTCATCTGCACACACACACACATCCACATACACAGCCACACATTCGCACCAACCAACACCTGAGAAAAGACTTGGTGTGTGGTTCTTGTGGCATACGTGTTGTGTGGGTCGCCCCGTTGAGCCACACGCGATTCCCGTTCAGATTGGCCGGCGGCACCGGTGCGGCCTCGCTGCCGCTATTCTGCTCCTCCTTTGTGGCTGTGGGTGTGGGTGTGGGTGTGATGGTCGCCATTGGTGCCCCACCTTTGGCCTCGTACCATGTCTCGGCCACTCGCGCGTCGACCTCGAGGGGCACCGAGAGGCCGTAGCGGGGGAAGGGGTGGCGCATGACGTCCAACACGATCTCACACGCAGCGGCCGCGTGAGCCTCAGGGCCCTGGCAGATGGACAAATGGATAGATGAGATATGTCATGTGTGGCTGGGTAGTCGTGATCAACACTGGCAGACCTCGAGTAGGAATTCGTCGTGGACCTGCATGATGAGTGTGTATCCCATCTGCTTGAGGGCCGGGTGGTCCCGCAGCCGCAGCATGGCCGCCATGACCAGGTCGGCAGCTGACCCCTGGATCACGTGATTGACCGCCGCACGCTCAGACTTCTCGCGGAAACGCGCACACTTGTGACTGCACACAGGCAGGCAGACAGGCAGACAGGCAGACAGGCAGATGCATCGAGAGGGTGGGTTGATTTGCGGCTTGTGAGGATCCCCGCCCCCTGACTTGATGAATGGGAGTTTGCGCACGCGGCCGAGGAGGGAGCGGCTCTCGTTGGTGAAGCGCGCCTCGCGAACCATACGCTGGCAGCCAGCATCCGACAAGAGAGACACACAGACGTTCTGGCGATGGGGGTGGGGGTGCAGAGGTACTTGGGTGGGTGGCCTACCTCTTTCCAGAGCTGCACCTCCGTCTTTTGCTGATACCAACGATCGAGGAAGTCCTGAGCCTCAACGTACTGATGCGTGACGCAATCAACACAGAGACACATCGAGAACCGCCCGTGTGTCGATGCGTGTGTGCCAGTAAGTGACCTTGCAGCCGAGGTCGTCAGCGAGTGCCGCAGGCCCCTTGCCGTACGCAATGCTGAAGTTGATCATCTGAACCACACCCAAACACACACACACACATATAGAGCACACAACCAACGGAGTCGTCCGTGCGGGTGTCTCTCCATCGATGTGCGTGTGAATTGGTGGGTACCTTTGCAACGCTCCTCTCGTAGCGGAACCTGTCCTTGACCGACGGCCGACCGTCCAACGCCCCGCCGCCCTCCGCATTCCGGTCACACACTTCGCCTTTCTCAACAGCCATGCGTACCTGCCCAGCCACACACACAAATGTCCGCTTGCACGAAGCCTATGTGTGTGTGTGTTGTGTGTGTGTCATCTCGCGTACGTGTTCGAACATTTCGATGGCAGTTTCCGAGTGCAGGTCGGCCCCCTGCTGAAACTTGTCGATGAGGAAGGGGCAGCTGCTGGCGTGGGCGAGCACACGCAGCTCCAGCTGGCTGTAGTCGGCAACAACCAGTCGGTGGCCTGCATGAAATGGGGAACAGGGGAAGGAACTCATGGATGGATGGATGTGTGTGTGTTGTGCAGGTGTGTGTGTGTTGTGCAGGTGTGTGGCAGCCAGGCATCCAGACCTTCGGGAGCTTTGAATGCCCGCCGGACGCCATATATGTCGTTGTTCTTGGAGGGCTGGTTCTGTAGGTTGGGGCGGCGGGACACGAGCCGACCTGGGAGACACAGGGGAGACCGCGCACGGGCGATGTGTTTGCGTGCTGGTCTGCCATCTACCTGTGGCTGTGTCTGGCAGCAGGGAGGAGTGGATGCGGCCCTCGTCGTCGGCCTTGGCCTGCATTGATCCACCAGCAACGGCCAGAACTGTGTGTGGTGGGGGCTTCATGATTGGTCGCGCCTGCCTGCAAGGGCCGTATGTATGACGACAGCAGCCGCCGCGCACGGACGGCCTCACGCAGGTGCCACAACCCCTTGCACGCCTGCACATAACACAACCACATCACATCAGGATCACATCAGGATGGATGCATCAGCTATGGGTGTCGTGTTGTCACCTCAAACGCCCTCTCAGGTCCGATCTTGAGCTCGAGTTGGTGGAATGCCTCTCCCAGCAGCGGGGGGTTTCTGAAGGGCTCGCCGGCGAACCACCGCAGAATCTGCTGGCTCGTCTTGGGCCAACCCGTCTCCGTCCACGCCGCTTTGGACTGAATGAATGAATGAACCGCCAACAACACCCGCACAAACACTATCCATGTGCGTGTGCGTGTGTGTGGCCCCCCGATGCAGCGGACCGGACCTTCTTGCCGGCCTTGACTTTGAGCCCGATGCCTGTGATGGTGAACGAGATGTTCTTGGTGGCCCTGATCTTGCCCTCGGCGACCTCCTGTCGCGTGTTGGGGGCCTGGAAGCTGCTGGAGGGATTGAGTATCTCGGACGTCTTGAGGTTCATCTGCTGGTCTTCGGGCGGACAGTCGGGGTCGCCGTACAGAAACTGCCTGCACACACACACACACACAGGGAGAAGGCGTGTTGTCTTAGGTGTTAGGTGTTAGGTGTTAGGTGTTAGGTGTTTGGTATGTGTGGCACCTGATTTGCATGGCACTGATGATGTTGATGCAGTCTGCCCGCGGGTTCAGGGGCTGCCGATCGGAGCCCTCGAAGGACTGAGCCCAACGGACAAACGCATCCTGGTGGCTCTGGGTGACATGAGACATACATGCAGATGTGTGTGTCAGCCATCCATCCATCCATCTATTTGTGGGCGGTTTGTGCTGAGTGACCTGTGTGCCCATGGCGGCCTCGTGTTCGATACGCTTGAGGTGCTGTCTGTCGAGGTACATGCCCTTCTCCTCAATCTCACACAACAACCCACCCAACGGCGTCCAATACGTCTGCACACACACCCACCCACCCACCCACCCACACACACAGACAGAGAGAGAGAGGGAGAGAGAGAGAGAGAGATCCAGCCAGCCATTCGTCCATATGAGACATACATTTTCCCTCAGCCCACCCACTCACCTGCACGAAGTCCCACATGTTCTTGCCCGTCACCTTATCCTTCTCCCAATGCCGCTTGCCCAGCACGGCGTCACCCACTACCACAGCTGTCCCCTCCCCCTCTCCCTCTCCCACCCCACCCCCAATGCCCGCATGCACCTCGGTCAGCCACTGCTGGTCCTGGAGTATCTGGCGGAAGTGCTGGTAGAGAAAGTAGGCGCCCCTGGCGTCCTCACACCCGTACCGCACCCACTTGATCAATGTCGGCTCGTCCGCAGAGTCGTGCACGTCCTGCGCGTCACGACCGCCGAAATGCTTCCTGCGTCAGTCGTCAGTCGGACACACGATAGACGATACGTGTGTCCAGGCCCTTCCCCTCCCCCCCATTGTGTGTGTGGCCTACTTGAATTCATCGATGGTGACGCGGCCACTGACGTAGTGCTGCGTGAGGCTCTTGAGCGAGTAGGGCTTGCCCGACACAGCAGGGGGCTGGGAGGAGCCCGCCGCCTTCCTGCCGGCCTTCTTGCCCCCCTTGCCCTTGCCCTTCTCCCCCTGACCACCGCCACACATGATCGAGTACATGCGGGCGGCCCCGATGCCGCCATCGAAGGTGAAGCGGACCGTGGAGCTGTGGCCCATCTTGCGCCTCAGCAGCCCCTCCTGCACCGCATCCCTCTCGTCCTCAAGGATGCCCTCCCCCTCCCCCAGCTCCCTCTGCAGGTCCTCCTCGTCTTTCTGCCGCACGCGCCGCTCCCACGAGGAGAGGGAGGTGTCTATGAGCCGGGCCAGGTGCCATGTGTCGGCCTCGAAGCCCTCCACGCCGATCTGCTGGCGCTTGAGGAGGTGCCGGTCGAAGGAGAAGTTGTGGAAGACCTTCCTGAAGATCGGGTTCTCGAAATACTCCTTGAAGGCCAGCAGCCACTCCTGGCCGCCCTCCCCCTGGTTGTCGATCCACAGAAAGGGCCCGCTGCCGAAATCCACCTCCTCGCCGGCATAGCAGGAGCCGGACACCACTCTGCCGTGACTGACGGGGCTCTGCACCGTCGGCAGGATTTCAGTGGCCTCGACGTCCCACGCGTGCGCCCTCTCCCTCAGCGCATCACAGGTCAGCACCTCCAGCGCCTTGCATGCACTGCTGCGGTCGGTGACCATGGTGATGCCGGAGGTCCGCCTGAGCTCATGGTCCGATATGCAAAGACCCTTCTGGGCGAGGCGATGGCGACGCTGGGCGGCCGAGAGGGTGGCGAAGCGGGATGCAGAGGTCCCGGGAAGCACCCGGGCGATGCTATTCACCTTCAAGAGACCCATTACTCACTCCGGAGGATGAGCCATTCCTTTGTTTGCCTTCAAACCCCAATTGTCAAACCCTGCACCCTAATTGTTGACCCCAACCCTGCACCCTTCGGACGAGCGAAAAAGAACCGTACACCAAAACACCAAAACAACACTCAAAGGCACACAGGAGGCCACACCAGCAAACGAAACCCACAGAGCACGCTTGGCGCAAGAAGGAGAGCTGCGTGAATATTCGGCTGTTGTTCATCATGGCAACCCAGCCGAGACCTCCCCGTCCCCCTCCGGTAGGCCCCTTCTTCTTCCGTCCTCCCTACCCATTCCACCCATTCCCGCGTCCCACGCCCCGTCCGCCTGCCGCTCACTCAGTCCCAGCGATGCGACCGTCTATGACCGCCGACCTCGCCGTCGCACAGACGCCGGGCGACAGGAGAGGGCAGGGAAGAGGAAGAGGCTATTATCGAAGCTTCAGTGAGGGCGCTCCTGCTCGGAGCGACAGCATTGAGCCGGAGAGGGAGGCACAGCCGCAACAGGTGAGTCAGGGAGGCAGGAAGGAAGGAGTCAGGGAGAAGATATGGTTGGTATGCATTGCATTGCATGTGGGCGGTTTTGGTGCTCTATCTCTCTCAGGTGCGGTGGACCTTCCACGAGCTCGTGTATGCGATATTCGCGCGGCACCTGCTGATCGTGTTTGTCTTTCTGGTGATCTTCTACTTCAGCGTCTTGGGCATCGAGTCGTCGCGCTACTGGGACACCTACTGCGAGGAGCCCATCCTCCCCTGGATGTGCATCTTCGCCGCCAACCAGCTCGGCCGACTCATCTACGCCATGTGGAAGAACTACCACATCGCCCTGGTCGGCTCGGGCACCCGGCCGGAGGACGTGTGTGGCCACCACTACATGTACGGCTTTGGCATCATCAACGAGTTTCTGCGGATGGGCGTGTGGAGTGCGGGGTTCTACTACATCGTGTACAATCCGCCCAAGGTGTGTCCGCGGGAGCTGGTGGAGTGGAGCCAGACGCTGTGGTGGCTGACGACCGTCATGCTGTTCGCGCCCCTCCTGCTGGTTCTGCTCATCCTCTCGATGCTGCCGCTGCTCCTCGTCATTCTGCCCTACTTCGTCAGGTGAATAATGGGGCGGTCGGTCGGTAGACTTTCTTTGTTTCTTCATGTTTCATACATTCATCAGACGCGGCCCCAATCAGACGGCCACCGCCGAGAGTCTGCTGGAGCAGCTCCAGAAGATGCCGTACGAGCAGCTCGTGAGGCGCATCAAAGAGACCCACGGCCTCGTCACCTCCGAGGCGGCCAGCCAGGAGGGCGGCGGTCCGCCACTCGGTCTCACCGAAGCAGCTGCCAACGGGCAGGGAGGGGGGCAGGAGAACGGCCTGCAGCAGCCGCTGTTGGGCATCACGACCGAGGGCGGGGCTGAGGGCGGCGTTCGGGGCGGGCAGACACAGCCGGTGAGGCGGGGCAGTCCCACACGAGAGAGCGCCGCGGCTGCGACGTTGGAGATGCAGCGCATCGGCGACGAGGGGCCGAGTGCCGCAGCTGCTGCTGCAGCAGCAGGGGCCGGTGTGGGTGCTGGGGCGGCGGAGGCTCCGGCGGACACGAGCTGGATTCAGACTGAGTGTAGCATATGCCTCCAAGAGGTAATTGATGAAGCTGTGGAGAGGGAGGGAGGGAGCCATGAAGGAAGGAAATGGGTTTCTGGTCTGGTCTGGTCTGTGGTGTGCCGTGGTGTGCTTTGGCATCATCAGTTTCAACCTCAGGATGAGGTGATATGTTTGCCGTGCGATGAGCGACACTTCTTCCACACCTCATGCGTCACAGGTACTTACACACACTCCCTCACTCACCCGACGTGATAATGCGATCGACGCCGTGTGTCTGTTCTGTTGTGTTCTGTTGTGTTCTGTTGTGTTCATTCGTGCAGGTTGGCTGCGTATGAGTCAGCTGTGTCCCGTCTGCCGCACCAACATCAGCGACCTCCTGGCCTCACAAGTCGCTGAGGCCCGGGCGCAGGAGGACTCCAACGCTGCTGGGCCACAGAACGTCTGACCTTTCTTTCCATCCTCTCAGAGATGCACGCACGCAGGAGGGCAGGCGCGCTGCAGCCCTTTGTTGTCTATCGAGGGTGAGTGGCACTGACTTGTGCAGGTAGAGATCTGCGTGCAGTGCATGCGTCGCCTTCAGCTTCCTCACATACATCACACAAAGGATGCAGCGCAGCCCAGCGCACTGCCTGTGCTGTGAATGTCACAACATCGTGTGTGTCTGTCGACAGAGTGAATGTTTGTTTGCTGCCGACCGGTACGCTGTCTGACAGACTGACTGACTGACTACCTGGCTGAGAGAGAGACAGAGAGAGTGCGCATGTTTGTATCATGATGATTGTGTGGATGACACACTGAGTGAGTGTTCGCGACCAACACGATGGACGAGGAATGCCTTTTTTCGTAGTGGCGGTCGCGCGTTCGTTTGTTTGTTCGTTCGTTGGTTTGTTTGCCAGAAGGCGGATGTACCTACCTGCATTTTTGGGTTGGTCTCTCTCACTGACTGCATCAGCATCAATGAATCAACGTCGTTATGTGCACTTCGGACGAACGACTGACCAAAGGGGTGTGAGTGAATGTGTCCATCCATCTATCCATCGTGTGTCCACCACTCACTCCACACAAAGACGCTATAGCATCTCATACGTCCGACCATCTCACCAACCAAAAGAACACAGATGGGATGGCTGTGATGTGCCCCTCTCAGGTCTGTGACCGGCATCGGAGGACTGGCTGCTTGCCGTCTTTCAGGAAAGCAGCCAACCCTACGACACTCATCTCTGACCTGAGTGAGAGCTGAGCCTCTCCCCAAACCAACACCTAACCGGCTAAACCACTCAATCATTACCAGAACAGTGATCCGCTCCCGTCACTCACCCACCCATCCACACGACGAGGGAAAGAGAAAAACTCAGGCTCTTCCATCCAGCACACACGCATCGAAGAGAGGGCAAGACAAGACAGCCATGGCATGCCGTCAACCACACCACACCCAGCCCTCTCACCCACCTGTGCGCATCGCAATGCCATCAACAACCCTAACGTGCAGTCGGTGCAAATCGGCTCACTTCCGCCGCCGCAGTGTGTCGTTGAGCAGCAGCAGCGACGGGAACCCATAAATGAAGGTCTGCACGAACCACAGCAGGCATGCCGACCCGCTCATCGAGGCCTTGCGCGCCCTCGACACGGCGTAGAGGCCTTCTGCGACGTGAATGACGACGGCAATCGCGAAGATGGCCTGAAAGTGCCATCGGTGTGGCAGCAGCAGCATCGGCACCTCCGTGAACCCCGCAAGAGCCACGTAGACACAGCCAGCGGGGAGGAAGAGCCACAGAGGGTTCACGAGGGCAAACTCCTTCATCGTGAGGCAGATCTGACGGCCTCAGAGGCTGATAGCCAGTGGTTTCAGACCATCACCTCTCGAGCTCGCAGTCGAGAAGCGGTCGCTGCAAAAGGAGCCTCGTTTTGAGGACGTAGACGTCAGTTTCCTGCAGCATTTGGTCGGCGGACAGACCACTGTTGGCGGCACATCCACAGGCGAGCGATGGAGGAGGCAGATCTCTCAGCCGGACAGAGAGATGCGATGCGGGTGTGGTACAGTACGGATGGTGCGGGTGTGTGTGTGCAGGCGAGGCGCATCGGTTTCGGTAGCTAGCTGGCCGTCACGTCATCATGGCGAAAGTCAAGGGCTCGTGCAAATGGTCAGCGCACGACGCACGAGGAGGGTGGAGGGGAGGAAAGCTCTGCACGACGCATCGCATCATGTTCTCTCCTCTCTGTGTTGCGCCAGGTTCAACTCAAGCAAGGTGAGCAACGCCGTGACGAACACGTGACGCGCACACGGGCGCGGCGCATGCGACAGGCGTGTGTGGGTGTGGGTGTGTGGTGACTATGTGGTGCCAGGGTTTCGGGTTTATCGAGCCTGACGACGGTAGCGGGGACGTCTTCGTCCACCAGAGTTCCATCCATGCGCGTGGGTTCCGCAACCTCGCCGAGGGCGAACAGGTCGAGTTCGACGTCGAGACAGACGAACAGTAAGTAACCGACAGACACGCCACACACCCACCAACATAACACACCCACTGCACTGCACCAAGGCGTGTTCCGCTCCGTGTGTGTCCTGTCCAGGGGACGCCGCAAGGCCGTCAACGTGACCGGCCCCGGTGGAGACTTCGTCAAGGGCGAAGAAAGACGCGTCAGACCCCAGCCCAGCCCCCCTCTCACCGACACACAGCAATTACACACATTCATGCCATGCGTGTGTCATCTTGTCGCCATTTACCAACAGGACGGCGGAGGCGGCGGCTATGGCGGTGGAGGGTATGGCGGCGGCGGGTACGATAGCTATGGTGGAGGTGGTGGGTACGGGCGTGGGGGCTACGGTGGTGGCGGCGGCTATGGGGGTGGGGGGAGGGGCCGCGGGGGCTACGGGGGCGGAGGATACTCCAACGGATACGGCGGGGGAGGGTAAGTAAGCACCAGTCCACTCAGGGTGGCCCTGACTCAGGGGATGCATCAGTCCACTCACATGTGACACATGGATGTGGTGTGTCTGTGCTGTGTTGTGTCCACAGGGGTGGCTCCTACTACGGCGGCGGGGGAGGCGGCTATGGGGGCGGCAGAGGGGGATACAACGACGGGGTACGCACAGACGGCAGCATGTCAGGCAGACAGACAGACAGACAGACCGACACAGAGGAAGTTGCCTACACATCTATGTGTGTGTGTGTCGGGGTGTCTGTGTGTCCTGGCTGTGTGTGGTTTGCAGGGCTACGGCGGGGGTGGCGGCTATGGGGGCTACTGATGCGCTCGCCATACTACACCACACCACACAATGGGGGGGAGGCGGGATGCGTTGCGGTGCGTGGGGTACATGTACATGTCTGTCTGCTGGATGGTGCATACACGATTCATTGATACAATGAGGTGGTCGTTCGCTTGTGTGTGCAGCTGCCAACTGGCACATGACGATTTGACTCATCAATCCACTGACTCACTCACTCGTTTCTTGTCTCGCTCTCTGCTCTCTCTATATTTCTTTGTTGGCCTTTTTTCTCTCCCCGTGTGCGGAGCGCGTCCGCACACCGGATCGGACCATAGCCGTAGCACAGCACAGAGGGGTCGACTCAGACAGACACAGAAACAGACGCAGGCAGACCGACAACCACAGACGCGCGCGTGTGGCAGGCCAGGCCAGCAGCCCCACTCACCGCCTCGCCTCCCTCCTATCTATCCTCCTAGAAAGAAAGAAGCTAACTAATTCGGCATGCCTTTGGGTGCATGTGTGCATTGATTGCATTGCTTCAGCTGCAGACAGACAGAGCAATGACTGGATGGGATGGAGTGGGGGTGGAGTGTGGGGATGGATGCGTGGGCATTGCATGCGATGCGATGCGTTCGATGAATGATTCGTGCCTGGATGGATTGATGGATGGTAGGTGATGTGCTCTAGTGACTGGGGCACGGGCGAGGCCGAGAGGGCGGAGGAGCGACCAACAAGAGAGAGGGGTTTTAAGCCGGCTGATAGACACCAGACGTGTGTGTGTGTGTGTGTGTGTGCGTGTGCGTGTGTGTGCATGTTCGGTGGCGGTGGACGGACCTTCGTGTGTCTTGTGTGTCAATACGAGCCACAGGTAGTCGAGAGTGAGTGACATTGACACACGAGCCACAGGTAGTCGAGAGTGAGTGACATCTCACACACACCCGTGTGCATTCCTCCCGTCTGGTTCGTATGGAGGTATGCACACAACACACACACACACATGCACACACACACACATGCAATTCACTCACCACACTCACATAACATGCAGACACGCACACACATCATGATGCCCATCCGTCCACAGACAGACAGACGGAGGAAGGCAAAAATGCCTGCAATGCATCGTCATTGTTTTGTTTGGATGGTTCCATCCATCCATCCATTCGTCCGTCCATTCCACTGCCGGCCAGGTCAGGTAGGTCTCGGTGTGTGTCCCCCTCCGCCCTGAATGACTGCTCACCCAGGCATACTGATCCAAGTGAGCAGTCGTCCACCACCGAGAAGTTAACAAGCCGAGACCGACTTGGCTATCGCGCATCGCATCAAAGGGCTCACCCGACACAACACATGCATTGCATCCATCTGTCTCAGTCAGTGTTCCGCAGCCAATGTGTTTGCACATCAGTCAGAAGTATGTGTGTGTGTGTATCCTATCCGCTGTGGTGCGTTTATGCCTTCAAATGCACCACAAAGGTCAGGCGCCCACATGCACTCACACCCCCACACTCACAGAGAATGCCACTCCATTCCCAGAAAGCACCCCACCCCCCGCATGCCCGGATGAATAAAGCACCCACCCATCGCCACACACACAGGTACATATATAAAGCAGTTACTGAACACACCGCCCACTCGCCCCCACGCACCCCTCCATCAACACAGAACATGATTCAGTCAAAAGTATGTCCTAATCGCCAATCGAACGAACGGCTAGACGACGGCGGCTAGACAACGTTCGGCCCCAGCAGCAGCGACCCGACGGCAAAGACGAGGAACAGAGTGCCGGCCGCCAGGGCGACGGCACGCTCGCTGATCGAAGCCGCCAGCATCTTTCCTCCGACCACAGCGATGCCCGTGCAGATGGCGTGGCCCAGACAGCCGCCCACCGTCACACCCACAGTCTCCTCCAACTTGGCACTGAAGCACACACACACACACAGACACAGACAGAAAGAGACAGACACAGAGGCCCATGTGTGCATGGAGGGTTGGGGGAGGGGAGAAAGGCTGAACTGCCTCTCACACGTGTCGTGTGAGTGTGGGGCATGGCATGCTTACGCGAGGGCTATGGTGGTGATCTGCGACCTATCCCCCCACTCGGCGCAGAAGGTCATCATGAACGCCTGCAAAGCACAGAATGGACAAACGGTATCTCTCTCCCTCCATCCATACGCTTGCCACCACACCTGACCTGCCAGAATGTCTTGTTGACGATCCACGAGAGCCCCCACCTCTCCACCCAGGTCCCCCTCACGCGCCGCCGCAGCCGGCCAGGCACACCGCCCACACCTCCAAGACGCGAACTCGCCGTGGACGTGTGACGGACAAAATCCAACGGAGGAGACGGCACATAGCCGTACGTGGCACCCTGACCCTGACCAGCACCGTCAGTGTCTGTGTCAGTGTCAGTGTGTGCCGGCTCCTGCTGCTGCACAAGGGGCGTGTTGAGATCGGGTGGTGGTGCTGCTGCTGTGGGGGGGAGCTGATTGCTGTGGTCATGCTGGGAGGTGGAGGTGGAGGTGGGCGGGGAGGCGTGTGAGCTGCCCTCGTCCGCGATGGAGCTGAAGGGCCGGTCGAGAGCGTCAGAAGACTCCGCCGCCGTGCTCTGCTGCTGCGACCGCTGTGACTGCTGCGACCGCATGTGAAGGTGGTGGTTGCTGTTGCTGTTGCCGACGCTGCTGCCGACGTGCTTGTCCTCCCCTCCCCCGCCCTCATCCTCATTGCTGTCCGGCAGAGCCGTCTCTGAAAATGGCGATGGCACAGCCGTGGATGGCAGGGAGGGGTCGTACTTGGCGCGTGCCGTGTGTGTGGGGTGGCTGTGGCTGTGGCTGTGGTTGTGGGTTTGTGCGTGGGGCTCAGAGGGCTCTGGCCCTGACGGTTCGGAGGGCAGCAGCCGGAAGCCCTGGGGGAAGGAGGTGATGGGCATGGTCATGTCGTTGCTGTGATTGTTATTGCTAATGAGGTGGTGGTCGGATAGGGGGGTGGCGTCCTCTGAGGCTGCGTCGAGGTTCATCTCCTGTTCGAGCTCGCGGATCTCCTCCTCCGGCTCCTCTGCACATATCACAACACACACGACCATCACATCAGTATGCCCGTGGAGTGGAAGATGTGTTGAGCTGCCAGTCCCCCCCCCTTCTCCTCTCTCTCTGTGTGTGTGTGTATGTGTGTGTGTGTGGTTGGTGACCACACTGACCAAAGGTGTTCATGCAGGCGTCGTAAAAAGACTTGACGGCGAAGACGAAGAAGAGGACAATGGCGGCATAGTGCGTCCATATCTTAGGCAGTAGTGTCGGCAGCAGCTTCCCCAGCAGCGCCGACAGCAACGTCATCAGCGCCAGACACGCAAATGCCGCCCAGAACACGACTGCATCACATGTGTGTGGCGGTGATAGGGGGGAGGGAACGAACACACACACACACACACACACACACACAGAAGCGTTGATGAGGCGTGTGTGTGTGTGTGTCTTCCTTACTGATGTGTGATCCCCTCATCGAAAGAATGGCAGCGATGAAGAAGGTCTTGTCGCCGATCTCCTGCATCCGACGCCAGCCACACCTTTGATTCCCTCCCTGTGACAGCCCTGTGTGGCCCGATTGCCCGACTGACTGACCGAGAAGATGATGTTTAAGAGGCTTGCAGCAAATGCCGTCCAGAAGCCCGCATGCGACTGCTGCCCCTCCCCCGCCGAGGACGCCATGCCCTCAAACACGCCCTGGATCTGATTCCACGCGGAGTCGACAAGGGAAGGATGCAGCCCCGCTGCCGGCGTCGACGCATTGCCGTCATCATGATGAAGGCCCTGCGCGACACGCGCCACGTCACACGCACACACGCGTGTGCCAGATCAGTGCATTGCATGTGATTTGCTGTGTGTAAGTGTTTGTGTGCCTGGCGGACCTTCAGGCCTCGGAGGAGCAGCGCCGCATCGGATGCCAGATCTGCCGCATCCTGCGCATCCCCACTGGGGGCGGCGATAAAGATGAACACAAACGAAAGAAACACAGAGAGGCGAGATATAAGCATGGCAGCCGCCACCGGTTCTGCCTCAAAGCCCTCGGCACTGGGGAACGCTCGAAACCCCTCGAGCTCGCACAAAGGCTCGCATTTCCCTGATCGATGCGTTTCTCCCCTTGAGGTTTCTCTGGCCCTCTGTAGCGTGTGAAGGCCACAAGCATGCCCACCATCCATCCCGCTCTCGCCCAAACGACTGACTAGACAGACAGACACATGGCATCGCTCGGCACCACAACAGAGGCTGCAGCTGCAGCCGCAGCAGCTGGGGGAGAGCCTGCAGCACAGCCTGCAGCAGCAGCTGCAGCAGCGGCTGCCGCTGCACCATCGCAGGCACCTCCTCCCGGGTTCGGCGCGGCGGGCCTCGTTCGTGAGGATGAGTGGCGGTGCGACGGTTGCAGGACCCCGAACAAAGAGACGGATCTCAAGTGTGTGGCATGCGACGACGTCAAGCCGGGGCTGGACCAGGAGGAGGTTGATGCCGCCGTCCGCAAGCAGCAGGAGGACCTCAAACGACGCTTCCTCGGCTTAGGCAGCGGCGCTGGTGGAGGTGGAGGTGGGGGAGAGGGGGGTCTCCCCGCTCGGCCGCCGGGAGCAGTCTTCCACCCTGCCCCTGTGGTAGGTCAGCAGCCGTCTGTTCAAGTGCCGCCTCCCACAGGCGCGGCGCTCTTCGGGTGGCGGCCTCCAACCGCCGCTGCCGCCGGCGGTGGTGGTGGTGGGGGTGGTATTGCGTTGTTCGGCCGTGGTGCTGGGGAGGCAGAGTTCCGCCTGAGGTCCAACGAGAAGACGCCCAGGTACGGGAGGGAAGCCACAACACGACCCCCACCGATTCGTAGCGTGTGTGCATATCTCTTCCCTCCCTCGGTGTCTGTCTGATGCATTTGTCTGTGCAGTTTCGGTCCACCAGAGGAGCCCGCAGCAGCAGCAGCAGCTGCCGCGGCCGCGGCCCCTCCCCCCCAAGTAGAGAGCAACGATGCCGCCAACCCTCCCCTCTTTGTGTTTGGCGCTAACCAGAACCAGCCGCCTCCGCCCCCCTCCCTCGACCCAATGCCCGGCGAGCTCTTCGCAGATCAGCTCCAGCAGCAGCCTGCCGCTGCAGCAGCACCAGCAGGGTGGGTGCCGGTGTTGGCCCCCGCCCCGGGCGCCCCTGTTGTTGGTCTGAAGAGCGGTTTGCGTGTGCCTGATTTGAGCGTGGGGGTGTTGGATTTGGGTGTTGAGGAGCAGCGGATTGTCAATGGGGTAGCGGTGCCGCTGGGAGAAGTATTCTCGCATGGATCTGGTATGTATGGGGGGATTGGGATGCAACTGAGCGCACACACGAATGGATGGATGGATGGACGGATGGATGGATGGATCTCTGTGTTGGTGGTGTGTGTGTCGTGTGTTGCAGGTGAGTGTGATCAGCTGGGTTTGGGGGACACTAAGCTGCAGAGGAAGAAACCTGACCTAATCAAAGTACGTTTCAGCCACACCACACCCATACCACACAAACACACGTGTGTTGATATCTGATGCTTGTATTGGCCTCTGTGTGCGTGTGTGTGTGTGTGTGTGTTTAGGAGTTGGAGGGCGAGGAGGTGTGGGAGATAGCAGTGGGCGGCATGCACTCAGCAGCGCTCACCAAGAACGGAAAAGTCTGGACCTGGGGTGAGCTGAGCTGTCACACAGACATCCACGCCCTCGCACACCGCCCCAGGCACACACGCATGACATGACATGTGTGTGTGTGTGTGTGTGTGTCCATTGGTTTGTTCAGGGTGCAACGACGACTACGCACTCGGCCGTGACGGAGTGCAAAACCGACCCGGTGTGCTCGAGCTGGACATCACTATCAAGATCAAGAAGGTAACCCCACACACGCACCACACCACACCACACCACACCAGCACAGCCATCCCTCCCTCCCTCCCTCTGTCCCTCTGTTCCTCTGTCCCTCTGTTGATCGTCCCATCACCCGACCAGGTGGTGTGCGGCGACAGCCACAGCGCCGGCCTCTCCTTCACCAGACACGTCTACCTATGGGGCTCCTACAAGGTAGGTGCCTACCACACCCACCCCACACAGACTCACAAACGCCCCCGCATCCCTCTCTCCTCTCTCCTCTCTCCCTGTGTGTGTCCTGTTGTCATGTGTCGTGTGTCAGTGCAACGACTTCCACATCGGGTTCCCCCATCGGGAGGTCAAGGTCACGGGCCTCCCTGAGGGCGCGTCGGCCACCAGGGTGCGGCAGTTCTTCGAGAGCAAGCTGCCGGACGTCGCAGTGCAGGAGGTCCGCCTCGACAGAGACAGTGGGTACGCTCGTCGGCACCATGCCCTGCACACACAACACAGGGAGAGACAGAGAGAGAGGCTCTGTTTTGCGTGTTGTTGTGAGTGATGTGTTTGTGTTCAGGAGTGCGCGTGTGTCCTTTGTGGACGAAAGCGCTGTGGAGAAGGCCGCCGGCCTCGACAACGAAGTCGTCACGGAGGACACATTCCTCGACTCCACCACACAAGAGGACCAAAAGGTGACCATCCCCCCCGCCCCACCCACACCGACACCGACTCACACATCTGCCTTCCCATCTCTCTCTGTCTCTCTCTGTGTGCGTGTGTGTGGGGAAGGAGTGTCGCATCCGCGTGTCGTCATGTCTGTGTGAGAAGCAGCGCGTGCCCGTGAGAGTTCCCCATCTCGACAACATCCAGCAGCTCGCAGCCGGCAACAACCACACCATCGCCCTCCGGGGCGACTCAGAGGTGAGTGACCCTCTATCTGCCCATCCACCCACCTCGCACCCTCCCCTCCCCCCCGTCTCTCTCTCTCTCTCTCTCTGTGTGTCTCTTTGAGTATGCAGTTGTATGTGTGGGGCAACAACGAGTTTTCTCAGCTGACCTTCCCCCCTCTCCGGCCCGCAGACGACGAGGAGGCCCGCAGTGACGGATTCCAGAAGCGCAAGCGCACCGCAGCGCGGGAGCTCCTGTACCCCAAGAAGCGCACACTCGCCGAGTAAGAGAGAGAGAGACGCGGGGGAGAGAGAGATGGATAGATGTCATTTGTCTGTGTGTCTGTCTGTCTGTCTGTGTGTCTGTCTGTGTGTGCAGGCTGGGCATTGGTGCGTCGTGTGGGTCGATCAGCCGAGTCTTCGCCTCGGCCAACTGCACCTTCCTCGGTGTCAGGACCACCAACGGCGTATCGAAGCTCTACGGGTAAGTCACAACACAGACACACACACAGTGGACACACACACACATACGGCTCATGTGCGTGTGTGTGTGTGTGTTGGTGCGCTGTGAGTTCAGGTGTGGTTCGAACTCATGTGGTGAGGTGGGCATCGGGACGCAGAGCGAGACGGTCGACGAGATGACCGAGGTAGCAGCGCTCCGCGATAAGGACGTAAGCACCGCCTCTCTCCATCCATCCATCCATCCATCCATGGGTGTGCTGTCTCTCTCTCTCCTGTGTGCAGGTGGTTCAGCTGTGCGGCGGCAGTTTCCACACCGTCGCCCTCCTGCGCGACCGCCTCGACGCCAGCGACGGCACCGTCATGTCGTGGGGCAAGGGTGCGTACTCACACATGGACGCGCGCATGCATACTCATGCAATCCCATCTCCCTCTCTCTCTCTCTCTCTGTGTGTGTGTGTGTGTGACCAGGTGAGTGCACTGGCACCGGTCGCTCGGGTCAGGACAATGTGCTAGAGCCTCGGGAGATCTCTGTAGAGGTACGTTTGTTTCGTTTAGTGGCTGACGAAGAGAGGGAGGGAGGGAGAAACACGGACACGGACAGGCAATCACGCCCTCCCTCTCCCTCCCTCTCTGTGTGCGCGCGACCATTCATTCACACCACACAGGGAGTTCGTTTCCGCACTATCGGCGCTGGAGCCACACACACGCTCGCGACCACCCGCGCGGGCGATGTCTTCTCATGGTGCGCACTCACATGGACACACACCCATCCCCTTCATCGGTGCCTTATCTGTGTGTGTCTCTTCTGTGTGTCTGGTGGTGTCATGTCATGTCAGGGGTGTTGGCGTGAACCATCAGCTTGGGAACTTGACGCAGGAGCCGACGGACGACGCGGCCTACGTAGAGTTGAAGCCCCATCGCATCGAGTCCATGAAACTAGCGGACAAATTCGTCCTGAAGGTAGGTACCACCACACAACACACACCCACACACAAACGTGCAAACGTCTCTCTCTCTCTCTCTCTCTGTGTGTGTGTGTGTGTGTGTGTGTGTGTTGGCTCCATTACCCATCCATCAGGCCGACGGCGGTGCGCAACACTCTGTCGAGTTGGTAAGACACACACTGCACAAACACAACAGCACTTGCCCCTCATCTGATTCCACTTGTCTCTCTGTCTGTCTGTCTGTGTGCTCCACCCCGCCCCCACCACATACGGCACACAGGCGTGGACCGGCAAGACCGACTTCCTCCGCGGCGAAGCGCCAGAGGCGGTGGTGGCCCCTGCAGCGGCAGCGGCAGCAGCAGCTGCTGCAGCTGCACCTGTCGTGCCGCCGTCTCCCCCTCCCGCAGTGTCACTCCAGCTCAAACGCAAGCGCGAGGAGGAGGACAAGTCGCCGTCGCCCAAGAAGCCCCGGTTCGGCCACCTGACGGCAGCTGCTGCCGAGATGGAGGAGGAGATGGACATGGCCCCCGCACCACAGCCCCTGCCCCCTCCAGCCATACCCGAGCAGCAGGAGCAGCAGCAGCAACAGCCCCCCGCACCATCCGATGTCGACATGGCCGAGGCCGAGGCAGAGGAGCCGCAGTTGCCGCCCTTCGCACCGATGACGGCTCCGCCTGCCGTGGGTGTTCACGAGGCTGCTGCGGCTGCTGCTGTTGCCCCGCCAGGGGGCGACGAGGAGATGGCCGCACCTTCGCCACAACCACCGCCCCCCGCTGCTCAAGATGAAGACGAGGACCAAGAGATGGCGCCTGCGGCCCCTCCAGAGGAGGAGCACCCACTACCCCCACGGGCCCCTCCTGGCCCTCCTCCTGTTCCTGAGCCATCCCAGGAGGCTCCGGAGGCTCCCCAAGCACCGCCAGCCGCCGAGGAGGCCGAGCAGGAGGCTGCTGGGGCGGGAGAGGAGGGGGCTGAGGGCGGCGGGGAGCAGCTCGAGCAGCCTGCTGGGGGCGTTGAGGGTGCGGAGGGCGGAGAGGAGGAGGCTCCAGCTCCCGCGGTGCCCAAGGCCAAAGGAAAGGCCAAGGGGCGCGCCAAGGGCAAGGCCAAGGCGGGGCGCGCTAAAGCCAAGCGCGCCCCGCGCAAGACCAGGGCTGCTGCAGCTGACGACGATCACGAGGAGGAACAGGAAGAGGGGCAGGCTGCAGCAGCGGCAGCAGCAGCAGCAGCTGGTGGTGGGATGGGGGAGGCCGCTGGTGCGGCAGTTGGAGAGGGGGATGTAGAAATGGCCGAAGGAGTTGGAGGAGAGGGCGAGGGCGCTGCGGGCGAGGGCGAGGGTGCGGCAGCTGCCGTGGCTGGCGAGCAGCAGCCTGAGGAGCCACAGGAAGAACACGAGGACGAGGAGGAAGAAAAAGACAAACCAGAGGAGACGGAAGAGGAGGCTCCCGCCCCAGCCGCAGCAGCGGCCGCTGCTGCTGGTGGTCGCCCTCGCCGTAAAGCCGCGCAGAAGCCCTCAGGTCAGAAACAACTTACACACATGAACGCATCCACCCACTCGTTGAATGACACCCCCCGTATGTCCGTCTGTGTGTGTCTGTGTGGATTGTTCAGCTGCTGCTGGTGTTGGTGAAGGGGAGGAGGAGGAGGAGGCAGCCGGCGGGCGTCGCGTCAAGAAGCCCGTCGGCAAGACCAAGGCCAAGAGCAAGGCGGCGAGCAAGGCTAAGGCGAAGGCCAAGAGCGGCAGTAGTGCTGCGGTGGCCGCGCGGCCGAAGCGGACGGGGGCGAGGAGGCAGCCGCCACCTGACGAGGAGGCAGAGGACGAGCGCGAGCATGACGAACAAGCAGAGAACGAGGAGGCGCCGCCCGCCCCGCCTGCGCGTCCGCAGAGGCCCCGCAGACAGGCCGCACAGAAGCAGCAGAAAGGTGCGCCGAAAGAGAGGAGAGGCAGCGTGTGGGTGGTCTTGTTCTGTGTTCCATGGATGGACTCTTTGTGCTGTGCTGTGCTGTGTTGCAGACGTAGCCGAGGAGGAGAAGGAGGAGGAGAAGGAGGAGGGCGAGGCCGAGCCAGTGGCGGCGGCTGCTGCTGCTGCGGCCGCCAAGCCCCCACCAGCACCGAAGAGGGCCGCCAGAGCGAAACCGAAACCCAAAGCACAGACAGAAGGTCAGTCAGTGAAAGAGTGCGACATCCGCCCAACCACTCATTGATTCTCTCTGGTTGCATCTGCTCAGCCAAGGCCAAGCCGAGGCCTCGTAGGGCTGCCGCGGCCGCTGCACACCACGACCAACACGAAGAGGAGGATGAAGACGAGGACGAGGGCAAGGAGGAGGGTGGAGAGGAGGAGGTCGCGCAGCCTGCCGCTGCTGCTAAGGCCAAGGCCAAAGCTAAGGGCAAGAGTGCGGCTGCCAAGAAGGCCGCTGCCAAGGCCAAGGCCAATGGGAAAGCACCAAAGCCTGCAGAGGAGGAGGAGGTACGCGAGAGGGAGAGAGATGTAGCTCACCCACATCAACCGGTCGGTGGAGGGACGGTCGTCATTTGTGTGTGTGTGTGTGTGTGTGTGTCAGGAGGATGAGGGTGAGGACGAGCCCGTGGCGGCCCAGCCCAAGGCTAAGGCGAAGGCGAAGGCCAAAGGTGCGTGGGGATGAACAGACATGGGACCATTCATTGGGTCGATGGATGGACAGATGGAGGGATGTGTGGGTGTCATTCATGTCAGGCAAGGCGAAGGGCAAAGCGAAGGCCAAGGCTAAGGCCAAGGCCAAGTGACGATACATACCCACACACGCATCGATCCACCTACCAGGTAGGTATATATGTCAGACAGACAAGTGCACAGGTCGAGCGTCGCATCTCATGCACTCATGTCCGTCTGTCTGTCTGTCTGTCTTCGCTATGTGTGTGTGTATCAGGGGCCGTCGGGTGGTGATATACTTCTCCGTGTGTGTGTGTGCGAGTGACACCTATGGTACCTATGGTTCGATAGAGGCGGGATGAGTGAGTGGGTCGATGGCCGACGGACGGACAGACTGCGTGTGGTGGCTCACACACCATGCATACTACCACACCACACCACACGACATTGCATGCCATCCCATCCCTCTGCATGGCGCTGCATTTCACTCATCGCATGCACTGGGTGGGTGCATCCATCTATCTATTGGGTTGGAGAATTGCGTGGAATCAATGCCTGCCGGCCGTGGCTGTCCGTCTGTCCGTGTCTGTCTGTCTGGCCATCTGCATCGTACAGGGCTAACCAAGCTGGCTGGCTGTTTTCAACGCCTGGCTGACCGACTGGCTGTCTGTCTCCTTCCTCGCCTGATGGTTGTCTGATCGTTTAGACCCTGATGGACTCGCATCGTCCTCTGGAACACAGACAACGCCGTTCTCTGGGTGGCGATGAATCAAGACCACTGGGGCAGTCTTGCGATGATGATTGGGCTCACGCGCAGAGCTTGTCAGAAGCTTGGCAGAGTTCACCTTTCCCTCGCCCGTCGCTCGCACTGCGAGCTTTGGAACATTCTTTTGCGAATTTCGTCCCCTTATTCGTCTCAGTTGACGTAGCACAACTCAGTCGGTAGCCGTTGGTCACCCGCTCCTCTGCTCGCCTCAGCGCCTCATTCTTCAATCACTCCTCCGGCACTTTCGGCGCATTGCCGCTGCGTAGAGCCGAATTGGGGTGCCCCCGGTTCTGCACGTGAGCGACAAGAAGCGCCAGTCCACCTATTGCCGTCACCGCATCCATCGCTTGCCGCCGATGAAGCGCGATAGCGTTCCTTCCTCATCATCCAGCTCTCATCACTTTGCCCGCGGCTCCGGCGCCTCCTATGTCCGCACCACCCACCATGCCCAGCACTCGCAGACCGCCCACCGACGAGCACGGGACTCTCAGCCTCCCACGTCGTCATCGAACCTCTCGAGCCCGCTGCGCCCGTCGGCCAAGTCGCCATCGAAAGGCCCATCCCATCGGGCGTCGGGCCAGCATCAGCAGCATCAGCGAAAGGCCGCGGAGAGCGTCACACGAGGGCCGCTGGTGGGGTTGAACTGTGCGGTGAAGGCCAATGGTGTGGGCGCCCACCCGCTGGAGGACCCGCTGCGGGACTGTCTGCTGGAGTATCTGATGAGTGTTGGGCCGGTGGAGGGCGGCGGGGACGAGACGGTCGTCTACCAGCTCAGCAAAGAGATGGAAATGAGGTACGTCAGTCAGGGAAGGCATACATCTCACTCACCAGCACTCTCTCTGTGTGTATGGACCATCTCGAGATGTCTGTCTGCCTGTCGGTGTGTGCGCCTGTCTGTAGGAATGGCGAGTGTCGTCGTGAGCTTCGGCTGTCGTCGTTTCAGCTGCGGCTGCCGCAGCCGCTCTTCTCCAAGCTGTGGGACGCCGTCAAGAACGAGGACTCATCGCTACCACACATACTCAAAGTGGCCAAGCAGATCACCGCACCACCACCACCACCAGAAGACCCCGTCATGGCTCAGATCACCATGCAGGAGGCACTGCAGGTGGGTGAGGATTGTGTGTGTGTGCGTGTGTGTGCGCGATGGGCGGCAACATGTGTGTGTGTGTGCGGTGTGTGTCCTTCGCTGGCGTAGACCCGGCTAGAGGTTGCGCGATGGATGTTGGGGTGTGTGGAGCCTGCTTCTGAGGCCCTGCTAGACTACGGCACCCTGCGGGCACTGTCCAATCAGATACACCAATGCGTGCAGGTCAGTGACAGACAGACACGCCCTCACCCACCTTACCTTCCATTACCTCACCACGCCACACACACACATGCATCCATTGGCTCTGTCTGTTCCCTCCCTCCCTCCCTCCCTCCCTCCCTCACTCCCCCTCCTCCCAGGCCACAGACGAGGCCGCCAACGCCCTCTCGCCTATCACACAGGCCACCGATCGCACCCCCCTCCCCCCACCGGATCCCTTCCGCTCCACTCCCTCTTTCCGCCGACCCGCCGACACGCACCCACACCGCGGCCGCAGACTCTCGCACTCAACCATTCCCACCAACCTCGCACACATGGCCAGCCCAGCCTTCTCGCGCAAGGCCGGCGGCGGCAGCGGCAGCGGCAGCCTCTCAAGCGAGCTCAACGCGCTGGACGAGCTGCTGTACTCGTCGCCTGACAGGAGGAGGGGGTCAGATGAGCATGAGCATCAGAGTGACGACGGTGACTGTCTGAGGTCGCTTGACGTGAGGGGGTACAGTGGGCTGGGCGGCGTCATCGCCGGGCTGAGGTCGGTCAACATCACCGACGAGGCAGGGGCACCACCCAGCGGCCCCCGACGGACCTTCTCGTCACCCCTGGGCGATGTCACCCGCTCAGATGACACGCCCATGATGCGCCGGCTCGAGTCGGATGGTGGGCTTGGGGGGTGGAGGAACAATCGGCGGGATGCGACTGAGCACCAGCGGGCCTCTGCGACCCTGTGGCGGGCCTTTCTGTCCGAGCGGCCCACACAAATCCGCGAGAGGTGCTCCAGCGTGGCGCAGAAGCTGGCAGAGGACGCAACGGCCAATGCAGGTGTGCCGGTGGTTACGCAGTGAGAGAGCACACACGCATCCACTGTGTGTATTGCCGCTATCTCATTTTCCCTGATCAGCTCGCCAGCGTGCGCTTCGTCGCGACTCAGTGGGATCCCTCCCCTCCGAGCCGCCCCCCGCCGACCACCCCGATCCCTCCTCGCCCCCCGTGACGGTCAAGGCCTTCGCATCGCTGGCCAATGCGCTCGCACTGGTCGGCCTCAAGTCCTTCCGCGTGGCGGGGGCGCTGTCTGGGAGTCTGCTGGGTCTGGGGAGGGAGCTGATGGACAGGATGGTGTGTCGCGGCATCACGCGAGTGCTGGACTGGCACGTGGGCATGGACGACCCCTTGAGCGGCGACTTCATGCGGACCCTGCCCAAGGTGCGGATCAGAAACCCCACCACTCTCGCGCTGGTGGAGAAATTCAACGACGTGCTCCAGGTCGGCAAGTGGGCCAAGGGGAGAGAGAAGAGAGAGAAGAGAGGGAGAGAGGGTCGTGGGGGCGTGACATCTTCTCTCTCTCTCTCTCTCTCTCTGTGTGTGTGTGTGTGTGATTGCAGGAGCGTGTGTCGTCCTGCAGCCCCGATCAGATCGACGCTGTTCACCAGCTGCTGCACCGACTGCTCGCCAATGTGGAGCGCAGGGACGCCCAGCTACACAGCAAGAACAAGGACAAGGACAAGAAAGACACCACAGACGGCAACAAAAAGAACTCCGACAACGGCCCCTCTGCTGCTGCGGCCAGCAACAGCGACGACGACCCCTTCTCGGCCTTTCTCAAGGCGCGCGGGCCACCCCACCCCGCCCACAGCACCAAATCCAAGATGCAGAAGAAAAGGAAAAAGAAGAAGCACGCAGCGAACGGTGCTGGGGCGAAGAAGGCTGTGTTGCACGAGGTGCCCCCAGTTCTGACGTCCATCAAGACCCCCGAGAGCGCCCACAGCGGCGCCCGCATCCGCCCGGGCACCCTCGACCGCGATGACTCGGACGACGACATCCTGCTGGACGATTTCGATCCCTCCAACACGCTCACCCGCGCAAAGGCGGCGCTGCGCAGCAGGCGCCTGGAGCTCTCCAAGTCGCGAGAGAAGGAGAGGGAGAGGGAGAGGAGCAAGGGGGAGACGGAGGGGAGCGGTGCGGGCGGCAGCGGGAGGAGCTCGCGGGAGGGGGAGAGGGGCACATCCACCACCACCACTGGGCGGTTCACCGTGTACCCCATGAGGCGCGAGCACATGACTCCTGATGGAAACAGGTCAGGCAGGCAGGCAGGCGCGGAGAGCGGCAGGCAGGACACCCACGCATCTCTGCGCCTTCATGTGTGTGTGGCCGTCTTCATGTTCAGGATGTCTCGCAGCAGCATGGGCGGCGCTGATGGCGGTCTCTTATCATCACCCAGCACCACCACCAGCGGCCGGTTCGGCTCCACAGACCCCCTCTTCAAGGTCTCGGCCGCTGCCGGTGACACCCCCTCACGCCCCCTGCGCCGCTCGCCCCTCCACTACGCACCAGAGGAAACACACCCACAGCCATCACAACCGTCCCGCCCCCACCTGTCCTCTCGGTTCGCAAGCGTCTCGTCGGGCACGCCCGCGACAGACAACGCGGCCGGCGACCTGGGGGACGACTTCGTCTATGGCAGCGGCAGCAGAGGCAGCGGGGGCAATGGCAGCAGCAAGAGAGGGGCGGGGCTGAGGATCGATGACGACGACGACGTGTTGATTGAGGATGGGGGCTTGAGTGATGATGACGATGACCTCGCTGGTGGGGGTCTGTTTGGCGGGACAGATGAAGAGGGCGAGGGATGGGGGGAGGAGGAGACCGATGATGAGGAGAGTGAGAGTGACGATGAGAGCCAAGATGAAGACGAAGAGGAGGAGGAGAACGAGGAGGACATCGACTTTGCAGAACGGCTGGAGAAGGCGCTCAATGGGCTCAGTGCACAGGTCAACCACTGGGCGGGGCGGGGCGGGTGGCGTCGTTCAACACACAACCCGACAGATGACATGACGTGGGGTGGGTGATGCGCTGCGCATGGCATGTGGGCAGGGTTTGAAGCATCTGGCGTCCATCGCATCAGCCTTCCTGACCTTCTGCGAGCGGGTCGCCGACGGCATCTCGACCGAGTACAAGAACCTCGACTTTGAAGTCGCTCTCGCCTTGTACGCAGCGCAGCCACACACACTCCCCCCCTACACACACATCGCACCATCTACTCTACGTGTCTGTGTGTCTCTCTCTCTCCCTGTGTGTGTCAGCTTTGGTTTGGAGTTTCTGCCCAGGAGCAAGAAGGACCTGCGGAAGCGCTACCTGGAGCTGTCGCTCAAGCTGCACCCCGACAAGAACCCCAACAGCACCGCTGAGGACTTCCAAATGCTCCAGAAGTACAAGGAACAGCTCGAGGTACGCCAGACGGACAGACACATCAGAGCTCTAGATGGCATGGCGGAAGTGGGTACGTGTCATGTGTGTGTATGGTATGGTCAGAATGAGATAGGTAAGAAGGGCAGTCGTGTGGAGGACGAGGCCGACAGCCCATCGGTGGGACTCACCCGGCTCAACGAACACCTCAGCAGATGCGCAGAGTCCATGGCACAGGCACGTCTGAGACACACACACACACACAACATCCGTCTCAGTAAATGATCTGATCCGTCTGTGTCTGTTTCTGTGTGTGTGTGGTGTGCAGGGTTATGTGTTTGATTTGCACAAGGACAAGGCGATGCTCAAGGCCTTCCTCAACATGACCAAGAACAGCAGCAACCCCAAGGACGTCCTCTTCATGCTTCTACTCACCACCAGGTCAACCCCCCCCCCCCCCCCC